CCAGGATTAGAATTTTGTTGTGCAGAATATCATCCAACACATCACGAGCTTGTGTTTGGGTTAGTTGATTACTGTCTTGCATGATATAACTGATGCAAGACTTTGAATCCAAGGCAAGTTGTACATAGTAGCCGTACTCTTCTAGCTTTTCCTTACATCCTTTCCATGTCCACTTGTTGACATGGCCTTGTGTCTTTGTGCCTAAGCGAAAGATCAGATAGCAAGTCAACAAAATATTAAAGCAAGATTTTAGCCAAATTGACTCACTAATCAGTTCGGTCAGGGCTTCTCGACACTTCGCTCTGTCTGTGTAAGTAGAATATACCAGTCAGTAGGTAAACACCTGGTGGAGACAACATATGAGACTTACCATCGAGTTTAGTTTGACTTAAATTGAGTAGGCCAGCCTGAGTTCCAGTCACGAATGCATGTAATTGTGCGGCAAAATGATTCTTTGGGTTACATATCCTATCATGGTCGACCCACTTGAGAGCCCGTGGCGTGGCTCGGACAACCTGGTAAGAATCCTTGCCTAAAAAATTCGACACACCCATCATGACAAAGTTACCTTCATATGTTGCAGCCATATTGTTGGCCTGAAATCATACATTAGTCAGTGATGGTAAGCATTGCTTCCTATGAATTAAAAAACCGACCTCGGTTTGCCACTTGATCATGAAGTTGTTTACAGCTGTTCGCGCATTAGCCAAAGACATATTTTTAGCTCGCGCATTGGAGACAAGTTCTGTTCTTGCTGTTCCACCTTCGGCGTCGGGTGCAGAATCGATCGAATTGGACGTAGTCGCGCTGATTATGGGTTGATTCTGTAGCTTGTACGAGTCTTTCTCTTCCTGTGACTTATTGTTCCATATACTCGAAGCCAGAATTGAGCCTTGTCCATTCGCTACACCTGAGGCTGGAAAATTATCATACCGATTTTAATTTATGATACATGTGTTATTTGAAGAAGCAAGTCAACTTACACTCTTTGAATATTGCACTAACCTCCTCACTCTTATACCACTGCTGGAAACTGTTTGCACCTCTGCGCGCCCCCCTTTCACCCCTATGATGTAGTAGATCAGTGCATTTATATCAGTGTATTTGTATAACTTCATATCGATTGATTGATACAACATACCATAATTTACGAACCGCTTTGACCGAAACCTGGTGGTTTATGCAATTGATTGCTAATACCTTATTGAGGTCTTCGTGTAATTTCATGAAATGATTTTTTAAAGCTGGTGGTACGGTCTCCTTTTTGGTAGCATGCTTTTCTGAAAGCATCCTCAATTCTACCGAAGTCTTTTGCATCATCTCATCTGCTGTTGGGATGTTTAATGTCGGTTGTTGAGTATTTTTTTTTCCTTTGAGCGAGTTAGGTAAGAACAAATTGACAGTAGCCCTTGTAGTTGGAGGTACCGGTACCTGCGTCTGCGTTGATGCGGGCGTAGTCAGGCTAGTAGATGCATTAGCTTCAATCGGCGGTGGTAATTGAGGCACGCTAGCAGGCTCAACCCGAGGTTGACGGCCATTTCTGCGCCTCTGCGCTGTTGTCTGAGTCGTCTGAGGCTGGTGGTTTTGAGGACGAGTTCCTGTGGAGGAACTATGTGTATGCCCGGGTTGTCCAATTCTGTTGATAGCGCTTGGATCACTTGATTCCCCTATGATAGGCGGTGTTAATTGAGGCACACGAGCAATGATTGAACCGACACGTTGATTATTTGCAGCAGAAGGTATGTCACCGAGATTCGGGTTTGATACTTGTCGAGCCTGACTTTGTTCAAACTGGTGACTATATTCATGACTTTGCTGACCACGTGTGGTCAAGTTATTGAAGTTAGAAGAATGATACGTAGAGTTAGAATAATCATTAGGGTGGTAAAGGTTGTTGTTGTGGTCCGGCTGAGCTGAGTTGGGTCCGGGAAGCATATCGCAAAGGCTGTAAGGTTGCTGAGCACGACTTTGTTGACCATCATGTTGTTGCAGCAAGAAGACGTGAGCAGCTTGATCATCAAGTTGAACTTGACCCTGCTGATTGTGACCAATAAACCCCGAGGGATAAAAGCCAGGCTGATCTTGAGGACCACGTGCACCACCATGCATTTGTGATTGAGGTTGAGCATGATTTTGCTGGTTGTATGGAGCTGGATGATAATTGTGCATTGTCGAGTTCTGTGTGCAAAGAGAATATCACGGAAAATTTTCAAGGTTGAAGGATAAGATTCAGTTCAAGCACTGTGCCATTTGAAATTGACAAAACCGCGACTTTCTGACCATTTGATATTGGTAGAACTAGGTTTCTGACCATCTGAAATTGACCCGTGTTTCTGACTTGAGAGTGCCAACTTGGTAAAAATTCAAGCCCAAAGACCGTTGGAAAGATCAATCAAATATTCTGATCATAACAAAATCATATAGAATGATATGTTGAAATGTAATGTTTCTTCATCCTCCAACCTGATAGACACATTCATTTGTCAAAAAGCACTTAATACCCAAAGCGCAATCAAATGGTTCACTTCAGTTACACCAAAACAGCAATTTGAACAAGATGTAAAGGATCTAAAATTCTGTTTTGGTGTCTCAATTTTTGTTTGAAAAACCCATATCCCGAAATGTGCGTTGCACATGATAAAACAAAGCATTGTTATGTTCAGTTTCCACTCTGAACCAGTTACCAGACATGCACTGAGTGGGAGGGACATATGAGTTTGTAGATAATGCCACATATGTCAGAGGGTTAATATGATGGTAGAATCAGGAAGATGCACTATTTATGGATAAAGTGAGCCAATATTCAAGTTATTAGGACCAAGGATGAAAAAGTTATGTTGAATTGTGTGCATGTAAAAGTGTCAACATGGGCATATCTTACACAATTTTGATCAAAAATTAATGGTCTAATAATGAAAATTGTTGTAAATTTAATTTCAACTAGAATCTATTAAGAGTGTTTTTGAATAATCACTCTATTTGGTGGTCAAATGAAGGTATTGGTGATGTTTTGGGGGTCACTCAGGGCTCAAATTGCGCATAAATCACTCAATTTTGGTTCAAACTTGATGGTCAAATATAATTTTTTTTGTAAAGGAAATTTCAAATAGAGTTTAATAGGACCATCTTTGCAAAATATTATGTCTGGATGGTCATATTTAGGTTTTTGTCATTTTTTGGATTGGTGTAAATGTGACAAACTGCCCGTATCTCTTTCAATTTTGGTCCAAACTCAGAAGTTTCATAATGAAAGTTGTTTGAAATTCCATTTGACTTTCCATTTAATAAGAGAATTCTTGAAAAAAATACATTCTTGACACCCCTTTTCACATTTCGAGTTTTGAGACGCATTTTTCTATGCCCATATCTCAGCCAGTTTTTGTCTTATGAGGTCAAGGATTGTTCCAGTGATTTCCTGGGGGTTTTTTAGGGGGGGTTTATTATTGAACTTGGAGCTAAATGTGACTTCTAAATTTCTCAAAAAAATCAGCTCAAGAATGCACATATTTGTGCTTTTAACGTCAAGGATGACAACACAACACCTTACAAACAAATGAGATTTCATCCAAGGATGATAATTTTTTTTGCCAATAATCTTTAGTACATTGCAAACAAATCTCAATGATCGAGAAGCCCTCATAATCATGTTCACCTGAGTTATGAGGATTTTACTGGTTTAACTGAGGTTAACCGAGAGGGGATCACAACAACCTCAATTCAGTAAACCGAATCAAGATGAATTTTTTTGTCAAAAGTATAATAATAAACTCATCACAAAAAGCCATTCTGGACAATGTTTATTAATGAATAATTCCTGATGGATTCTTATTGAAGGAGATGTGGTCATTTTGTGCAACTTATGTGATTTCGAGTTTTCACAAAATGTATGAATTGTCCATCAAGGGTACGGAATTCACGCAGAACCTGATATTAAACCCCTCATGTTTTTCTTTTCAGAATAATTTCCATCTTTTGATCATCGAATTCTGATCGATATTGAGTGAGCTGTACCCATTTTGTGCCATTCTCATCGTGACAAGTGGTCTCAAAATGGCATCATATGATCATTTTCATCGAATTCTCAGCTGATGCATTTGACACATCATATTGTTTATTATAACCAGTGTTGAAAGGCATATTACAAAGTCAAATAAAACAAGGACCGACAAGACAACAGTGATTCAATTTAATTCATGTAGAATAATTGCGATACAAACAGTTTGAGATCAAGGGTAGAGCTTGCATTGATGCTGAGTTGGTTCTTCATTTGGATGAATGAAATTCAAACTAACATTTGTTTCTCGCTTGAACTTTTAATAAGATTTAAAATACTATGATTGGATTCGAGATCCCCAGTATGTATTGCAATGAGAAAAATACTACAAACGACTCGAAGAGAACAAATGATAGATATAATTAATGTATGGAAATTGGAACTATACATTCTCATTTTTAATTTCATGAGATATCGTTTCTCCATCATCTTTTTCTCATAAGTCTTCATTTTGTATTGTAAAATATACATTAGGACTATGTCATAAACAATGTTGCCGGGTCTACAGCAGAATGGATATCCACCTGATCAAGCTCATGTACAAGCGCATCAATCTTATCATCATCCTCGTCATCAGAACTATCACTTTCATCGTCTGCACCATAATATACAACAAAATCGTCCGCAATAGCCTCTTCATCCATAGGAGTAACTATTGGACTGTCAAAATCACCCGGGATCATAGATATATTACGTTCTTCATGGAGAGTCGAGATAAACTTGGCTTGGCTGTCCCAAGTTGTCTTTAGCTCGGTGTCACCGGTTTGGGTTTGGGTCTGAGCAAAGACTTCGAGTAGGCCTTCGTGCCATAGGAGCTGTAAGTTGGTTATTTTGACAAATTGATTCTTGATGACCACCGTAGCTGCACTTTGACGAGCCTGTGGAGGTAGATGTGAAAGGGTTGGGTGAGAAAGGAGAGGTGTTGAAAGGTCAGGGGTAGCAGACTCTAGAGAAAGGAGCGCGTTGTATACACGAGTGTGAGTAGTTGTTGCCCATCGCATAGCTCGGCGAACTTCCCAGCCGAGACGCCGGAACTCTTCTTCTGCTCGGTCAGCATATGCAATCTGTTGCATCCCATGCCTAGTGTTCGGATCAGCTGCCCAAGGCGCTTGGACGTTGGTGAAAAGCGAGTCGTTCCAGAATGGATGGTCGGCTTGTATCTCAAATAATTGGTTGTAATCGATGTCTGCAGGCAGCTGACGATCTGGATATTCGGCGTGATACTGTGCCCGACGAGTGCGATATGTATCAACCAATTTTTTAAGCTTGGTTGCATGCCTCCGAACTGCCAACAGGAGATTTGTCTGGCCCTTATGACCTAGTTTCAGATGAGAGTTATGAGCTCCAACTTGTATCGAATTCAGTCTCAAATTGAATGCTTACCTAAGTTTGATGAATGTCCATCTGAGCGACTCTGTTGAAGTGGTCGCTTTTCCTCACATATGGCGACATACTTGAGTCCAACTTCATGCTTGCTGTACCACAGCTTCAAGAAGGCTTCTTTCTCCTTATCGCATACTGGTACATCTGCTGTGCCAACTTTTTTGACCTGCTTGGCAATTTTCTCTTCGAGTTCAGCTGTTGTTCGAAGCCGGATAATGGTCTGTTCCGCTGTAAGTACTGGCTTTGACCTGTCAAAACCCAAAACGGTTAATGATATTTCCACATAAGTATTCATACATCTACTTACCATTCAGCGATCAGCTCATCTTGTAAGGATAATAGTCGACCAAGCTCCAGCTTTTGCTGCTGCATGACTACTAGTTTACTTTCGTATGCTTCCCTCTCCAAAGTCCACTGCCCACGGAAAAAAGCAGCCGTGTAAGTTTCACCAGGTTGGTTCGGGTTAGCCATCCCAAAGAGTGTGGTGAGTGCGGATTGAGCTTGCATCAGAACGTCGACAGCGTTTCGATATCTTTTTTGAAGCCAAAGTCCTATTGTATCAAAGCGCTTCAGCAATGATATTTTTACCCAGAGAGCTAAAACTTACCGCATCCTTCATTAACCCTGGAAGAATAGAAGATGGCACGCCAGTTTATTGATAGTATTCGATGATGGCGAGTGGAGATTCGAAGTGAAGCTACAAGAGCTGATAAGAATGACCATAGCCTCTCAAGGCCCTCACCGTCCGAAAGTCCCCAATTTTTGTTGTAGCGAGGGTGGAACTTGATTTGACAAGCCCACTGATGCACATAGGCGTGGAAAACCGAAGTTCCAAACGTCATTTTTTTCAAATCGTCAGGGGAAAATAGCTCACGCTGTGGTTGAAAATCAATTTCACGTTGATTAGTTTCAGCTAAAAGGGGTATAAGGAAATGTATCAAGTTACTTTTGCTATGTGCGCACCCAAGTGGCAACCAATATTGTATAGTACACCTATATGCTTATCGGGGTAGAGTTCTCGAAGCTGTTGGATAATTGCTACTGGATAATGCAGTCTGAAGTGAAAGGAATTTGTTATTTTTCATCTCTTCTGGCGCAATATAAAAGAAAGCTCACTTTTCGCCACTCTGATAAATATTCACAAAGTGAAGTGGTACATCATGACAACAAGCTCCTGCAAAAAGACCTGTGTCATTGCATCTGTCCCAAGACATGCTATTGCGAACATCATTAGCAGCGGTGTGCGAATCAGAACAGGAAGTCTAGAATGCAAATACCATCAGTACGTGTTATTGTGACTTGAAATGATAAAGCGAGGTTACATACCTTGATGTCGTTGGCTTGAGCGTCAGTTTTTTGACAAGCATCAACATGTGGTTCGAGTTTGGAAGGTTGGATGAAGAAATCTGGATATTGGTTGTCTTGAATCTCGTCCTTGCTAGCATGGGATTGGTGGCGATGTTGAAAATTACCGTCCATGGCAATGATGAAGTCTGGTTCATCAGGAGAAGTTTTGACTTCGGCCTCTGCTGGACCAAAGCATTGAGCACATCGAGCAGCAGAAATATCAAGTGCACTTAATTGAAGTCCTTCTTCATATAACTTTTGTTGATGATATAGGATTTGACGATATATATCTATTGTCTGAGTGAAAGGACGTCTAAGGCTACAATTCAAATTCTTCTTGTATTTGCCCTTGAGCTGTTGAGGTGACAATCTTGAATGGCATTGATTGTCCAGAAATGCCATCAGTGCATCAATGAATCCCGAGGTTGATATTACTGTGTAATTCCACAGATGATGTTGAAATTGAACAAGCCGGACCGTGAAGGCAGTGCGAGGGTGCTGAGGAGAGCCGGCTATGTAACCCAGATGAAGCAGGCGGATAACGTCAGGTACACATTCACAGAACGTGAGTCGGCGTTTTGTGCGACCTAGGTAAGAATTCAAGACAAGAGTCAATAATTTGAATTAAATCATAAAGAAGTTAATAGAGAAAAAGGCTTACTGAGAAGGTCAATTAGGTCGACACATTGGTTTCGAAGTTTATCAGGAGGGCACTCGCATTGGAACTGACTGCCTAGATACGAGTCTGCTTTGGTCCAATTGCGTGTATGTTGTTGAAGGTGGAGGTAAGTTGCGGTGAGTTTTGTTTCAACAGCCTTCCACTTGCTTTGGAGCCTGGCTTGGGCTTCGGCACGTCGAAGCGATTTTTGATGAGTAGCATATTGATCTCCCGAGGAATCGGGCCTGATGTCATCATTGATATGAGGTGTATCAATGATGTTCTCCCAATTGTAATCGTTGTCTACAGAACTGGGTTGAAGGGGAGGATTTCGTGGGGGTTCCATGAAACCAAGGCCTTGACTAATCTTTAACGCTTCATCACGGGAAATGGGAGCTAGTGTGGTGCCGGGTTTTTTTCGACGAGTTGGTTTATCATCAAACAAATCGACATCAAATCCAGCGTCATTGTAATCGCGACGCCCCATAGAGCAGTAGTGGTGGTTAGTGAAGTTAGAAGGTGAGTCGAGTTGTGGTGGTGAGTCGAGTTCAAGGGTGTGGTCCTGGACTTGAGAAGGTGAATGATGTTGTGTATAGGGAGTCGGGGCTGCACTACGCCCCGCTGGGCTGATGCTACACAGTGCTATGTTGTGAAAGTCGTGTGTAGGTGCCGTAGGGGTTCTTAAGCCTTATCCGGCTAAGTTGAGTGTATGTATTTTGAAAAATCTTCTTGGTAAGATGTGTAGTCATGGTACCCAACTTGCGAGATGAGTGAGACAAATCGAGATGAGGCAGGTGATGCTGCCAGCAGTTGTATGGTACAGTCTATTTGCTACTTCAAGTAGTTGAATAAGGTGCCCCGAGGTGAAACAGAGAAAGAGGTGACTATAGGAAAGGAAATGATTTTATAAATACATAGTAGATGAAGAAGTATTGGTGTGAACAAAGAAATAAATATAGAAATTATGTATGATGAGAGACAAGCTCAATAGCTCCGAGTTCCACCTTATAGGAATGTGTCACGAGCTCACGACAGGCTATCCTGTTCTACATGAATGGCGGGCTTCACGTAAGAGCATCAGCACCGGGACCTTGTGAAATGAGAGTATCGGGGGATTCATGGAATCCGCGAGGCTCACCAAAGGGTGAGCAGTGAGCTGAGAGTGAACGAAGCTCCGACCAGCTCGGTAGGCTCGCGAGCCTCGAGGCTCCCCACTGTCTCATTAGCTTAACTAAGCCCCTCGCGCGGCCGCGTCCGCGCCCTCGAAAGAGGGGCTTATGACTAAAATGGGTTTTTTGGCTGTGTGACTCCACGTTTTAAGTACCCTTATGTTGTTTTTCTCGTCTCTGCTCTTCCAATTTTCATAAATTTTTCAGACCTTCGAGTATGTTGTTCTATGTCAAATTGTACATATTGCGATATACTTTTCATGAGCAACAGACATCCCTGCATGGCTTGAGAGCTGTGCTGAGGATGCGAAAAACAGGCCTTACGCAAACTTATATAAGTCCAACTCGCGTGGCCCCGACGGTACAAGTACCACATACCTCCGAGCGCCAGCGAGGGACTTACGCGCAATCTCCAAAAAATGGCGTGAGATCAGGGAGGGCTTTTGCCCAAAATCTCTCATCTCACTTCCTCACTTTCCACACTTATCAACCCATGATGAGACCTTAATTAAAAAGATGCGCATGGCTTCCTTCTATAATTTTCCACCCTCCATTCCTCAACGGCCCAAAAACATCTAACAATATGAGCAAAAAACCAGTTGGGGCCAACACCGGGGCCGTACATGAGTTAAGCATGACTGCGGCGTCCAAAACCCCTGTATTGTGGACAAAATGGACAAAACATTCCATGCAAACTGCAGTTCAGCGATTGAGCAGATTTTGTCAAGTACACAAAATCCACCACCTACTCGACCTTTATCACAAAATGAATGCCTTCAGACCCAATCACTCCGACCTCGTCTATCCTGCTTCTTTTGGTTCAAAAAGCCGGTCCGAAACTCCGTAGCTATACTCTGCAAGCACCAGACAGGCGTTATGGACTGGTTGATACCCTTTCCCTGGTGATCGATCGAGGTTATCCTACAAACCTTACTCAAAAGAAAATTTTAATTTATTATTACAAATTTGTTTGGATTCTTGTGAATATTCAATAGAAGAAGATGATTTATCACAAATTATGATAACAGAAAGAAGCAATTTGCCGATATTTGCTAGATAAGATTGATGGGTAGGCTTTGGGACCCTAACTTCTATATACCTTACCTGTCTGGCATGGTATTAAGGAGTCGATTTTTGATGGGGATGAGATTTGAAAGAGCTCCAAGAGCCACATGTGCAGATGTACCATCCAATCTTTGATCAAGGCTTCTGTCAAGTGACCAAGAGCTTAGATGTGCAACGACTATACAACTAGATGTCATTAGTGCTCTGTGTTGCAATCATAGATGATTTGGAACATAGGTTCATAGCTTTGCTATAGAGACTACAAGTTGTTGGATTGGGTCTGTGAGAGATTCTATTGCAGGTATTTGAGAGGAGAAATCGATCAAAAGCACAGTTCATCACTTCCAGGTCGGCCCAAGAATTTCTATCTCGAGTGAAGATTATGGTGAATCACCTTGCCAAACACAAACTGCAGTTGAGACTGTTGTAGTTAAAACTTTTCACAAGCCAAACCTTTCTGACGCGCAGCGTCGGAAACACATGTAAGCTCTTGCGGCCCCGATGTTGGCCCCAACTGGTTTTTTGCACATATTGTTAGATGTTTTTGGGCCGTTGAGGAATGGAGGGTGGAAAATTATAGAAGGAAGCCATGCGCATCTTTTTAATTACGGTCTCATCATGGGTTGATAAGTGTGGAAAGCAAGGAAGTGAGATGAGAGATTTTGGGCAAAAGCCCTCCCTGATCTCACACCATTTTTTGGAGATTGCGCGTAAGTCCCTCGCTGGCGCTCGGAGGTACGTGGTACTTGTACCGTCGGGGCCACGCGAGTTGGACTTATATAAGTTTGGGCCTTACGCCGTGTTGTAATTGCCCTACAACCACCTAAGCCAGCTGGATATCCCTCGAATGAAATTCGAAAGCAGCTTAATTACCAATCTTACATCACGATTTCAAAGCACTTCTGCTTCATCTGAACCAAAGTAAATGGTACTGTGTTATGTACAACTCGATGAGGAATAACATACTGGAAGGTCTGAAAAATTTAAGAAAATGGGAAGAGGGGAGAGCAGAAAAACACCATAAGAGGACTTAATTTCTGGAGTCACACAGCCAAAAAAACTGTTTTAGTCATAAGCCCCTCTTTCGAGGGCGCGGACGCGGCCGCGCGAGGGGCTTAGTTAAGCTAAACTGTCTCATCACCAGTATCGCAGTCGGATGAGCGCCCCCCAGTTTGTAGAGAGTATCCCACCCCCCCAATGGTTAAATGAAATACATATGTTATTTAGGATCACCAGGAAAAGTGTTACACACACGCACAAAGAAAGAAAGGGTATGCAGCATGTCCTTGAATGGTATGACCTGGTATGACCTCGCATTCCCTATGCGTATTGAAACACGCAATCCCAACAGCAAACTCCACAAAGGAATTCCCCAAGGACCAACAATCCCGATGAAAAGACCTTTAAAATTCGCATCTCTTGACCCATTGAAACCTCTGATCCAGCCGTCGCCAAAACACGTAGCGGTCTCATCTGTGATTCCAACCTGTGCATCAACCAAAGACCTCACTCCACCATCTATTAGCAACCCAAGAAGCATCCTCAAAACATAGGATTGAGGGTCAGAATCAACTTCAAAAACTGCAGGGGTGGGTTGTATGGGTTGCAGAGTCTTGCATCCTTGTTGCATTGCAAGAAGTCAGCCAAAAGAGTTGTGAACGTCGACAACTGACTCAAAGCCGGAGTTTGTACAAGCATTGATGATATGTTGTAGTAAGTGCTCAGTCTCAGTAGCGGTGTACGGTAAGGCAAAACAATTCGGTTTGAATTCCAGACGGAACTTTCATTGCCACATGGGTTTGTCTCTTGCGTACCGCTCGAAGGAGGTGTGTGAAATTGATTGATTTCAAAATTGACGCATTGGTACAATCAAATGCATGCTTGGTAGGCTCTCGGGTAGCAAAAATCCTGAGGCTACTGGCCTGGTCATGGCTTTGGATTCTCTGAGTGAGCTTTCCCCCCCTGTCACACAGCAATACAGTCTTGTTACGGCTATGGCTGGCTGGGCACCGTAGATGACCAGGCACACAGCCTAGGCTCACCTTGTTTTGGTTTAGTCCAAGTAGAAGAATCAGGAATGGTTAGGAATGTTTCAGACTAGACTGGTTTCATGTTGTAGAGTTACGTCATTTTATTAGCGCCAAGTTTGAAACTTGTTTCATATATAAGACTGTGTTTTATCTTCACTTGTTTGGTTTCTCTTTTGTCACATTATTGTTTTGTTGTGGTAGATCTAAACTGACTTGTGTCACTCTAGGTAGAACTCTTTTTCTCTCTCTTATATGAATGTCACATTATTGTTTTGTTGCGGTAGATCTAAACTGACTTGTGTCATTCTAGTCTCCTTTTGTCCCGTGCCGCTCTACAAGTCTGACCCAAATAGAAGTGTATAAATATACAGCTGTTCCAACAAAGACTGATTTTTTTTGGAAATCTTGCCAATGTGCAAAACCCGGGTTTTGTCCCTCACTTGCTTTTGTCTCTCCGCTAATTGGAAGAATACAGGAAATAATAAACCTGTAATCAAGTTTTGTCTTTGGTTTTAGCCGCTGCGGAGACAACTTTCTCCAAAAAAAAGTTGTCAATCTTTGTTGGAACAGCTGTATATACAACCAATTCGGTATATGTAATTCCAAAGGCAGACACATTGAAACAGAAAGAACGCATCCGTCATTCCGTTCTCCCGTCACCTCCTCGTTTGCCCGCCGGTCATCCATGCCACCTTTATCCATTCAGCAAAATGAACCAAGTTAGCACATTTTGCTCAAGCATTCCGAGCACTGGCCGTGATCAACACAAACTGACCAGGGGAAAATTAGATCGTAAAAGAGAGGGAATTTGCGATGGTCATGACCTCGGGAACAAAGACCACCTAGATGAAAGGGAGAAAAGCGGGGTAGATGAAGCTGAAGGAATGAACTTCTTTGCGTTTTGAAACACTCAATATATAAACACATAGTACAGTCAACTCTCTCTAAGTTGATCTCCATTTTAGTGCATAATTCCCTAAGCGCATGAGTTTTTATTCCGCCATTTTTGGCGGCACCAAAAATAAGGGCTAAGTGCATAGAATTAAGGTTCTGAGCCGCCATAAGTCCATTTATGTGCATAAATGACACCCAACATCCTTGAGAGGGTGATCTCCACCATGTCTCCACAAAGCTTGACAAACCTACCATATCTCCAAGAGGATCCATTAGAAATTCAACCGGCTCCCACACCTCAAGATACTATGAAAGTGATGTTGACTCTCTTCAGCTACATTGAAACACAAGACTGTGTAAAGGCAGATGATTGTGATGCCCCTTTGCACAAGCTTGAAAAATACATCAAGACTCAAATTTTTCATTCTTTCTGAAAACAAAATGCTGCTACTAAAATTGGCGTGGATGGTGGACGGCCGGCTGGTTTTGATGTCGCAACTCCTGGTGTTTTCGTTGAGTCGATTTGTACCGGTTGTACCCAGGGATTCACTCCATCATCTTGACGGCGAGCAGGGCGTGGGCCCGGATTGAAGTTTTTGGGTACAGATAAAAAAGGACCTCTAGCTGGTCCACGACATTGAGCATTACCGCATTGGGTACGACAGTACCCGCATAAACCTCTGGATCTCATGTATGGATGGTAGCGCCACGCGCTATCTGCTTGTTGTTCTACAGTGCAATTGTCTGGTGTGTGAAAGTTTCCAGGTGGACTGGCGCATTGAACAGGGTGATGATTGTCTTCATTAACAACTTGCCCTGGTCAACCACGTGGTATCAAGTTACTGGCTTGTATCACGTCCCAAAGATTGCTTGCTGCAGAGATAAACGGTAACATCTTGAAGTCAGGCACTTGCAACAACCCACGATCCTTGATCCATCATTGAAATATGTCGGGAGTGCCCCAGACCATGTATTCGGCGAGATTGCGGGGGCTGAGAGATGTTTGATGTTGCACCATGTTGTATAAGTCCCGCGCTCGTCCCACATAGGTTTTGAAGTCTTCAGTGGGTCCGATTTTCAATTGACGTATGTTCTTCTCAGTGTCTTCTTGCCAACTAGTCGGAAGAGTTTCGATCATGAGCTCATGAATGATTTACTCCCAGCTTAATCCTTTCAAATCCGCTTTTGAGTTCATAAACCATGCGCTGGCGCGTTGTTCAATCGGGACCAATCCCAGGATGATGAGTCGGTCCTTGTCATCGCTAATACCCTTCAATTCAAAGTATTGCTCAATTAGGCGCTTCCAGTTGAATAAGGCGGTCGGGTTCTCAGAAGGTCCAGTGAATTTTGGGACTTCTGACAGCTTAATGTCGCTTGCTGAGGTCTTCTTTACTGGTGTTTCTTCAGTGGTCTCGGCAATTGGTGCATTGATTGTGACAGGGGCAGTAGAGGCGGCTTTAATTGGATGGGAACTGGGTACCGCTTCTGCGGCCTCTTCCAGCACAGTTTCAACAATGTGATGGAGTGGAGGGGGACAAGGTCTGATGAGCGTGGGAGGAGCCGTTCTAGCTCAAACGTTGGCCTCCGGGTCGTGAGTTTGGCGACCTCAAGGACCCATTGGAGTTGGCGTCACCAGGTTATTGTCCTTTGCGCGACATGACACAAACGGGTTAGTAGACCCTCCACTGCGATCAGTGTTTGGTCCCCTGGTGTTGACGATTGGCGAGATAGTCGTCTCCAGAGCCGCAATGTGTCGTCGATCTTCAGACGCCGCGCTGACTTGAGCTGCGAATGAGGCACTCTCCGTTTCCAACTGAGATAAACGCTCGTGCAAGGCCTCGATGATTGCGTCTTTTGAACAAACTTCCTTGGCATCCTTGCCCTTGACTGTTGCGGTATCCAAATTCTCACTTTGAGGTCGGGCCATTGGCGTAAGGATGAAACTACCAGGGATGACTGGAGTTCCTTGAACGGCCAACTCAAAGTATTGCCAAACAATCTTGACGTCCGGTGTTAGCGTAGATTTGCTCAAGTCCGCGAGAGAGTGTGACAATGAGGGTAGGATAGTGCGAATAGTGTTACTGAGTGTGTAAAGATACTCTACACTCTCAGGTTGCCAATGGTAGCAAGGTGGAGGTGGTGCAGGTGGTGACTCAGCAGGTTCGTGTTGGAATAAATCAATGATTACACGTTCACTATTGTTTCATTTCTTAACACTTAATATTTATGTAATTTGTTTACTCAAAACCTTTTGTATCAAACTCAAACCTAACCATGTCTTGTATCGCATGATCTAGTATTTCATACCTTGTTGTTCTGAAAACTTTCTTTTTCTTTCCTCATCAATTAGAAAGTTTTCATCATAAACAACATCCTTATCATTCAACAATCTCTCTGGACTCAAAGTTCCTCTTTCTTGTTTAGCTGATAAGTCTGTTGTTGTTTCTGATCAGGTATGAACAATTGTTTTGGTTTCTCATTTTATTTGTTTATGATATAAAGTAATAAAATGATCAATTAGAAAGTTTTCATCATAAACAACATCCTTATCATTCAACCATCTCTCCGGACTCAAAATTCCTCTTTCTTGTTTAGCTGATAAGTCTGTTGTTGTTTCTGATCAGGAATCTAAGATTCCTTTAGTTTGGTGGATCGATTGTGACTTAATAAGCTTTTGGCATTGTCAAAAAAGCTAGATGGCAGATTAAATGGCATAGGGTAGTCCGGGTGTCAATAGTCGATTGTCAAGGTTGTCAAAAACAGAAGGATCTTCAAGAAGTGACGGAGTAATAGATTAAAAAAGTGTAAGGTTCTCTATTCTGGGAACCTTCACTAAGGGCACTGAAGTCTCAAGGGTGGTTTATCACAACCACTGAAGACTAATCTAGAACTCGAGTATGAATTACAGAGTCCAGCTAGCTCCAGTCGGGGTTTGTCTGGAGAAAAGCAGCAATCAGAACCAAGAAACAAACATAAAAGAGAGAGAGATAACAACTGAAAGGTGATTGTTACCTAGCTCCAGTCGGGGTTCGTGAGGAGAAAGGGAACCCAATGTGGAGCTAGATCTAGTTGTGGATCTTGTACAGTAGCCTTGTGTAAACCCATGACATAACAACCTTACACTGGCCAGTACATATCACAAGAGAATCATTCAAGCTTACCAATTAAGAGGTCAATTTGTTTTTTCATTGTGATTGGGATGTTTCCAGGTGCCAAAATGATGTAGCATTTTGAATATAGAATCAAGACAAATTACCTGTTGGTATCCTTTGGTGCAATTCCCAATCAAAAGGCTACAGGTGACCGTATATCTTGAAACACGGGCAACCATTGAATCAAAGAACATTGATTTGTTGACAATTTTAATTACCTTGACCTCAGGATGGGAGCACAGCCTTAAAACAAAAGGCGTGCCCTGGCCCGTTTTGTGAAAAACAGGCGCTTCTAGGCGCCACTGGCGCGTTAGGCACAGCCTTTCACCGTGCAAAAATGAAAAACTATGAAAAAAATGTGAAAAAAATCTTATTCTTTTTGTGCCCCCATCCTGACCTTGACCTCAATTGCTGCAAAATTTACCATAGATCAACTTTGTCATGAGTATATAGATGCAGTGCACCAAACCAAAATTCAAGAAAAGAATAACTGCCCCGCATAACTAGCTCTGAGAACCATCAAATATAACCTTGACTAATCTTGAATCAGATTTTGAGAGACAAGATCAAACAGAACCAAAAGATCAGAACAAGAAAGACTACTCCTCATACTTAGCTCATAGAAATATCAGATTTGACCCCTAACAATCATATAACAAATATTGAGAGAAGATCAGAACCACAAAATCAAATCCGCATATCTGGCTCAGAGAACCATCAGATAAGATTCTAAGCAATAATAGAATAGCTATCAGTGAATTGGATGAAAGACAGGAAGAGGATTGAGGATTGGCAACACAAAAGTGATTTGAGTGATTGTTGCAGTTTTATCAATTTTCACTTTTTTGGAAAGAGTGCCATGACTCTACACTCAAAACTCTTGCGTTTAGGTTTATCCTCATTTTCCCTTAACACAAATGAAGCATGTGGAACACTCATACCATGTCCATCATTTGCCCTACCATCATGTTGAATGAACACATGAGCTTCATGAGGTTCTTGTTCTTTTAGATAAAACCATTCCTGATGATCTCCATAGTTCCAAGCTTGAAGTGCATTTCCTGCCCGGTCTGGTACAATTTTTGAATCTACTCGATCACTTGGAGCAACTGAGGTCCATCTACAAAGCCCCAGAGGATCTGCTTCAACCTTGGAAAGTGGTCTCCAGACATTCAAAATCACCACATTGTAAGCTTTTGTTGATAAGAGTTGTCCAAAGGCTTTTTCCTCTGGATCCTCTGATTCTAAAAATCGTTTTTCTACCCAACTGATTGTTTTTTGGGCTCCTTCTGGTGACAAGTCTGAATGAAGGTTTGGGTTTGGTTCACCTAAATACTTCATCATGGGATTTCTAAATTGACTTGAATAAGAGATTGCCAAAGTAGGATTTATCCTTTATATAGAGAGAAATGTTCAAAACAATCAATCAGTCACTAATCTATTTCTAGAGACCTTTACTTATCAATGGATCAATCATGTACAATTCTTCAACAATCTTCACTGAATCCTTTGTCAAGGCCTTTTTTTGATCACCAGAAAAATCTCCCAATCTCTTGATTGATTTCACATCTCTTCCAGAGACATAGGTAAAGCCATATTCATTGAGCGTTGGTCTGTCTGTCATTTTTCGTAAGTCATGGAGAGGAACTTGGTGGACTGTTTCCCAATAGGATTCATAGACATTGTATTCTAAATTAGCTTCATAAGATGTAGCCTCTCCTATAACTTTTCCAGAATCTGATGCTAAAAATGATGTATACATTGAAATTTGGGTTAGTGATTTGATGTGAAGCTGTTTGGAAGATTGGATACAAACAAACCCTTCAATGCCCGTTTTGAGATACTTTTACTATCTATGAGAGAACAATAAATCAAGCTAAAAAATATCCACTTTTGAAGCAAAGATGAATACATTTGAAGAAGTACTTAGTTTCTTTATGAAGAGGTGTGTTCTTGGATAAAAGGAATTGAGCAAGGAAATCCCTTTAGAATCGATCATATGGAGTCAGCTAGCAGGTCTACTTATAGCTTTTACTTTACGCAGCCATTCCAATAAATTTTGATTGAGGTATGACACGTTATAGCCTTCATTGAATTTACACAGCCATTCCTATACCTTGATTGAGGTCTGACGCGTTGCGCTATATGTACCACACTTGGAATCAGCGTCTATAAAGCACTTGAAAACAAAATATCGCAACCGCAACCAATATCCAATTTCATTACAATTCTACAAACTTAAACTATGAAAGCCCCACGTAGCGCTTTCAAGCTGTACCTACTACCAGCCCGCTCAAACGAGGATTCTCCCTTACGTTATCTTATAAGTTGTACGGGTTAGGGTTAGAAAACCCGCTACCAAACTGCAAGTATCTATGTATATTTCGGCAGGGTACAGCGTGTGTGCAAGTTTGAGTTGGCTTTCCAGGAATCCCTTTATGGAGCGTGTAAAGATACTGTAGTTGTCAGTTCAAAGTCAATTTTCTTAAACTGATTTTTGTTGCTAATTCTTGGTTCGAAGGTTTTGCTTTAAGAAAAGATTGCCTACCCATTGTGTTGCCAGTGCCAGTGGTGACGGTGCCAAGGTATTGAGAGACTTCCCAGAGTGTCGGAGGATTGCGTATCGAGGTGGTCTCGTCAGAGTTATATTAGTAAAGTGTACTACTTGCCTTTACTACGAGTGAGAAGAAGGTATATATACTACGATGCTTTCAACTCACAATCTCGATAGAATGATCATGAATTCTCTAAAATGAAATCGTAAACAGAACCTTAAACTTTCAAAACTGATTGTAAATCATAACATCCACAAAGTGTGAATTGACAATCCTGGTTCAAGAAGCGCATCAATTCACAACCGAATCTCAGGTTTGAAAATCTTGGACTTTATTGGGTTGAGACTGAGTCAAACACGAATTCAAAAAGGCCTGATTGTATTTCAGATCCTTTCGTTCTGATTGTCATGGTCCACAAAATGTACATAGCGTCATACATAAAAAACCCAAACCAAACCAATCCGTGGATATTCTATCTGATGAGTTGTTGGAGGTTTGTGATGATGGATCTCAAACTATACGCTCTTAGGCCGTCTCCTTCATCCTGTTCATCCTGCTACAAGAATCTCCGCCCCAAAACAAATCACTAAAAAAAGTGTTCATTTCGAATTTCTGATCATCAAAGACAACAAAAAAGAAACCTTAAAGTATATGAAAAAAAAAAATCGTAAGATATAAAAAAAATGACTAATTGTACACAGAGATATTTAAAAAAAATGATGTAAACAAACAACCCATGATTCTGATAAACATGATCCAAAGAAAAAACCCATAACCATTCAACTTTTCAATCCTTATTCCCAATCTGAATCTTCATCTTCTTCAACCTTCTCTTTCACATCTTTCACATCTTTTCCATCTTTTCCATCATGATCTTTTTGAATCAATAAAGTTTCATCATCCCCACTAGGTTGTGAAAGGTTTGAACTAATCAAATCAAAACTTTCCGTAGTTCCTTCACTCGAGTTCCTACCACTACCAACATTAGGTTTCGAAGGATTCACTTGTTGTTGTATTGGTGATGGTGAATCAGATTCTAGTTTAGATGAAGTCGGTTTAGCTTTAGGTGTCATCGATCGGATCTCTTCTTCAGGTTTCTTTTCTTCACCTTCACCTTCACTTTCATCTTCTTCCATATCCCATGAAAAATCTCCTTCTTGATGTTCTTGTGCTGCACCTAAAAAACAAATCAAATCAATGAAAGAAGAAGCAGGCTTTTCGATTCAAAGGGGGGTTAAGGATTACCTAAGACTAATCTACGAGCCGCTTCTTCTTGATCGATTTCATGTAATCTAAAAAAATATCGACTCCAAAAAACTTCTTCAGAAATCAAACTAGGCACTACATCCCGAAAAAACCAATCAAGAATCAATAAACCACTCAAAGGAAGAAAGCGAAGAAACCCTCATTCCAACTGCTACTAACCGATCTTCTCAAAAACAGTCTTCAAAGTCTCATAATCTGGGTTCAATTCTCCATCCCACTGTTCTAGAATTTTCTTTTTCCAAGCTTCACCCAACACCCCACCAGCCTGATCCACCGATATACAAAACTCCTGAAACCTATCCTTCGATTCGACCAAGGGATCTACCAGTAAGACTGATTCGTCCCTTCTCAATCTCGCAATCGACGTTTCTCTCTTGGTATCCAAACTTCGAACCTCTTGACCCGTTTTCAAATCATTAGTAGAAACACTTTGATGATCATCTTCAGCTGGAGGAATCACTTTGACAGCTTCATTAACCAAATCCCTTAACTCTTTTCCCACATCTTGTAAATAACTTTCACCTTTGTTCAAATACCCTTCTGCAAGTCTTTGAACTTCACTTAGATCGAATGAGCTTCCGTTCAAGGTCGTTTTAGGTAATTGGATTGATGTTTTGGGTAAGTTTGATAAAGTGCTTTGGATTGAAGAAGTTAACTTTTCACTATCTTTTGATAATTTCGAAAAAAAAGAACTGATGCTTGTTGGGTCGAACAGATTATTTTGAAGTTTAGGTGAGGTGTTACTTGAGTGTTGATCTTCATCTTTTGGATCTACCATCCTATCACCTTCCCCTCCTCCCTCAGTTTCCTTTGTACGTTCTTGATCACCCACATAATCTTTTCCTTTTCCTTTTTCTTTTTCCTCTAAATCATCATCCTGAATGATCAACTCTAACCCATCAACGGTAACCATCCTATGATTTCCATCCTTTAAATCACTCCCTCCATTCTCTAACTCATGTTGAACTACTGCATAACTCTCTTTGGCTTGTTCTCCAATCCTTTCGACTTCTTTTTTAGCTTTTTCTAGTATGTTTAAGGATGCTATGTCTTTTTTGACATTATTGATTTGAGCTCCGATTGATGTTCCGTTTAATGCTTCAACTGACTAAAAATCCAAAACAAGGAATGATTAGTTTTTTTTCGGGTTCGGAATGGGAGTGGGGAGTTCAGATTGACTTGTTTTGATACTTTTCCCCACCATCCACCTAACGAAGCACTCATCCCTCCTAAAGTTTTTTTAATTTCATTAAGTTCTTGATCCAATGAGTTCGAATTAGAATCGGGTTGCGATTGAGTTTGATCTGGTATCGTAGTACTTTGATTCGGGGTGGGTTGGTGAGTTGGATCTAGATCTGTGATAGTAGAAGTTGAAGAATTGATGGAAGTCGATGGTTCTGTGCTGCTTTGATGGTCTTTCTTTTATTGTTTCAAAGTGGATTGGATTAGGTTCTGGTGGTATGAATGTGTGTTGGGTTATGGATTGCTTACTTGATTGGGTTCATCCATCGTAGTGTAGTGTATTTGGAATTGAAGTGGTATGACTCAGTCTGATGATGGTGTTCTTGTTGAAAAGTGATCTTGATTAGTTTGTGTTTGAAATGTTGCAATCGTGACAGGTTCTCAGTTGACATTCTCTGAGTTGGGATGTCAGTGAATTTCGAAACCCCATTGACTGTGACATCTTGAAAGTTACAAACTCTTGACCTTGACCAATTCATGAGACGCCCTTGAACCTGTTTTGATTGATCAACCCATTCCCTATTCCCTATTTCCTGCAATCTTTGATAACTTGGAATCTAATGTTTTGATTGGAAGTCAAGGAACATAGATAAAAGGGTCAGTAGTTTTTTAGTTGAATTGTGTTGTGTCGGTAGATAAGGAGACCGAATTGAAGTTTTTGGTTTTTTTTTTTAAATTAAATTTGAGTTTAAAGTTTTATCGTTTGAATTGAAATTTGAACTTTCTTCTTTCTTCTTTTTTGATTTTATCTTTTTCAGTTTCGACCATTTCATTCACTTCAAATCACAACTGACCACTCCAACTCACCTTCTTCATCATCCTCTCCATGTATCTCTCTCCAACACTTCATCATATTTAACATTCTTCAACCTTTCAACACCTATTCCAACTCTCAACAACTTCGTCTCTTATCATGTGCTGTTCGGGTGCACAATGGAAAAGAGAAGAAGTACCTGATCATAAATGGGACTTTGTAGATGTCAGAGAGTTTCATAACTCAGGTTGTATGAGTTACTTTCAGTAAGTCTTTTTCCTAAAATCCCTTCACTCATTCAATCGGCTCATTCGACTAATCTGGTTTTCCTTCAGGTACTGTTTCCTTTACGTCTTAGTCATCAAATCAGTCTTGGTTTATTGTTCAGATATCTATACGATGGTCTTACTCTTAGCTTCGAATCATTGGGCAGGTTCGATTTTGGAAAACTCATCGGGTTCATCGGCTATGAATGTACCTTTCTCAATCGGAAAATGGATCTTCTTTGGTTGTATTATCTTTTCTTTCTTGTTACTCGTTTGGGAAGCTAAGAAGTCTAGAGCGATTATTAGATCTAGAGATATTAGTTATGCTTTTACAAATGTCATGGCTGTAAGTCTCAACTCTATCTTTCCTATAAACCACAGTTTGACTGATTCACTTTTTTGGCTTGCTGGCTTGCTTCTACAACACACAGAATAATTATTATTCAATGAAATCTTATGATCATTTTTGTTTTTTCTCACAAATTAATAATTCTAAAAAGAAAAAGGATGATTTTGCTTTCTTTGTGTTCTTTACGTTCAAAGGATGGAAACGACTCTTATTGGCTGATGCTCCAAGACAAGTGATCAATGGATTAACTCTTTATTCGTTTGCTCGTTCGGTTGGCTTTACCACTGATATTCATAAATGGTATGATGGTAGTTTTGCAAAGGCTTCGGTGTTGGTGTCTATGATATTCACTGGTTTGTGGTTTTCCCTTCTCTTTCATTCGCTTTTGGGCTTCATGGGATCACTTATCCTTGTGGTTTTGGTTGTAGTGACGATCTGGGTGGGATCGTTTATTCTTTTGTTGATTGCGGCGTTTATGTATGTGCCATTGTTATGTTATATCCAAGGGAATTTAAAAGAATACTGTTGTCATAAAGTCGATAAGGTATTCTCCATTTTTTTCATCTTCCTCTTTTCCCTTACTGATATTAACTCTTTTTTGTCTGGATTCAAAGCGGATTGCCGAATTGATGAAACGTAAGAACCGAAAACGATTAGCCAAGGAAGCAGCAATCATGAGAAAAGAAGCTATGGGAGATTACTCACATTTGAAAGATAAAAAAGGACAATTCAAAGCTGCTCCCTTACCTCAACCTACTCTTCCGAAGATTGGAATGGACGAATTGATGGGAGGTGGAGGAGGAGGCGGGGGTGGTAGTATTAAAGGTGGTGAACGAACGATTCGTAGTAATCATGCTTATCCTCCTCATGGAATGAATAAGTATGCTGGAAGTGTTTCGGGTCTGAGTATTTCCGGTAGTCAGTATAATCCTCCTACCGTGCCTTGGGCTCATCCGGGGTATGCTGAAAGTACTACATCGTAAGTTTTCTTTTTTTGAGATTCCTCTTCTGCTTCTTCTTCTTCTTCTCCACATTTTTCAACACTCACCCTGTATCGAATGAATTTTTTGAAACATGAAGGACTGATCACTTCGTATCCCATCAAGCTCCCACCGTTGGCAGAAACTACCCTAACACTAACGTAGGAAGTGGAGGAGGTGGGACAGGAGGAGGATATAGTGATCAAGTCACCGAAAGCCATCCACTTTCACAGCCTAATGTTTATACAACTAACCATCAAAGCGGTCTATCAAGAGCACCATCATATTCGAGTCAAGAAGAACGATTCTATGGAGATGAGAAAAAGTTGAATTCGTTGGGAGGTAGTAGAACTCATCATGAGTATGGAGGAGAAGAAAGACAAATGTATTATCAAGTGCCTCCTCCTTTACCTTCTCAATCACAACAACCACAAGGACAGCAACAAGGAGGAATTCAACAGGATTTGTTTGATTTGTATGCTCAGACTGAGTTGGCTTTACAACAACAACAACCACAAGCACCGCTTTCTTCACAAAATCAGAATCAGAATCAAACACTTAGTCAGACAAATTGTCAACCTAGTTCTAGGAACTTTTCGAATCATACTTATGGTCATCCTCATTAAACTTTTTCTTCATTTGGAAACTAAGTTTTCCATTTATTCATTCATTTTTTTTTCTTACTGGATTTGTTTTTTCCCTTGGATGATTACGTTTGTGAAAAATTTTTTGTGGTTTTGTGGTTTTGTGAGATTTGTGTGTTAGATTACTCTTTTGCAATTTTTCTTTTTCATTCATTTTCTTTTTTGTCTTCCTTTTTGTCTTTTTTTTTGTTTTTTTGATTTTCTTTCTGGTTTTCTTTGATGAGAAAGTTAATTTGAATTTGTAAATGATCAAGAATATTGAAAAAAAAAGAAAGGAAACAGGAAAAAGTAAAAAGGAAGAATTGAAATTGGAAGAATTGAAGGATGGAAGGATGGATGGATGGATGAATAACCAGAATGGAAGGATGAATGAATAAACAGAATTGAAATAGGAGGAAGGGGGGAATGGAAGGAAGAATGGAAGAATGGATGGAAGAATGGAAGAATGGAAGAATGGATGGAAGAATGGATGGAAGAAAGAAAAGTTTCAAGAAAAAGGTTGATTGAAGGAATTTGGAAAATGAAAAAAAACAATGATGGGAAGTTTGGATTTGGATTTGGATTTGGATTTGGATTTGGATTTGGATTTGGATTTGGATTTGGATTCTAGGATTTGTTTTTCTTTGTTTATGATTTTCTTCACATTGGACTCTTTTACTTTTACTATTTACTTTTGATTGTTTTTGATTATTTATTTTATTTTTTGATATCATTTTTTTTTTGATATTGTCTTTTTTTGGTATATCATACTTTTTTGGTATATATCATGTTTTTTTTGGTATATATCATTTTTTGGCATATATCATGTTTTTTTGGTATTGTCTTTTTTGGTATATATCATTTTTTGGTATATATCACCTCTTTCCTTGATATATATATATATATTGTCTTTTGATATATATACCTCTTCATATATCTATATATATATATATGATATGAATCATCTTATATATATATATGTTTTTTTGTTGATATATATCTATTTATTATTGATTCTTTTTCATATAATTTTGTATTTAAATAAGATTTTTTAGTTTTTTTGTGATTTTTTTTCCTTGTTTCATGATAGAAAAAGGGTTCTTCTTTTCTTTTGTGAAGGTATTTATGTTTGTGAGTTTGGAATAAATTAAATCAAATCAAAGGAAAAAGAGTTGAACAAGAGTCAAAATTGAAATTGAAATTGGAAATTGAAATTGAAATTGGAAATTGGAAATTGAAATTGAAATATGATTTTGAATAGAGATAATTTTCTTTTGATTTCTTTTTCTTGTAACTTTTTTCTTTGATGATAGGCTGTTTGTTATCTTAGATTGATTTTCTATCTCATTTGATTTGATTTGATTGAATTTGATTTTATTTCATTTTACTGGGTCTTTGGTGCCCAGCTGCCACATATCTCTGGGACATGCCAAAGCCTCACTCACAGTCACACACCTGGGTCAGAGTGTCATCATACACATGCTCAGCAATTAGTTTCTCAGGTTGATCCAGATCAAGTTCTCTTCTCCCTTTAAATTTCAGTGGCTCCTTGTACCAAAACTGTTGGCATGACCTAACAACAAAAACACAAACTCCAGAAAAGGCCAACCCTCTTTGCCACTTGTCCTTGGTGTGGTTCTTACCTCTATCATTTCAAGCTTGTCTCTGAAAACCTTTGTTTCCAAAATCCACTCAATACCTGAAACCTGCATGAAACAGTATACTGAATTTAGAGTGTGGTTTTGAGATGGTGATGGACTGAAATCATCAAAATGTTTGTAATTCATTGGCACATGGCTAGAGGGATCTGAGCATAATTTCACATTGAAAGTTGTTTGTGGCATAATTGTGCTTAGAATGAATCACAGCTCTGCTAGAATTGACAAACATGATCTATGATTTTAATATATTGATGTGCTGAAAGAATTGGATTGATTGTGAGTTAGGATCACATATATGGAGAGCTTTGAGCATAATTTGCTGGTAATAGTGGTGTGATGCTTAATATTGTACAGAATGAGCCACAGATCTTGCAGGATTGGATTTACCCAATTGCCCTAGCTGTGAATTGGGGAATCAAGCTTGTGCTCTGATCTCATCCGGCTCTGCCGGACTGGTGGCGGGGGTTATCATAACTGGGAATGAGGGGAAAGTGAGAATACATTTTCAGTGATAGCTTATTGATCAATAATAACACTTGGCTCAATCTCCAGCCTTTGGGGAAGTTGTCCTCTCCAATTTACCAACCCCCTGTATGATATTAAAGCTTGTGACCTAATATTTCCATGGCTGACCAGGCTGAGCCGGATCAGGGGTCAAAATCTCTCAAGCCTCTGGCTTGGTCATCAAGTTTGTGCCATGGTCTCTGACCTACTCTCTTCCAGACCAGGATTGAGGGTGTGGTATCATAACTCTTGTCTTTCTTGGAGACCCCAAGCAGCTGTAGGTGCCTAATGAACTTTGATGAGCATAGCAATAAAATCCTACATGACTGTCACAACTTCATGTTGTGTATGTATCCTAGATCAAAACAGTTGACAGAAATATCATAATGATGGTTGAAAGTCATCATATCAATGTAGAAGTGTTTCCCTGCAGGATAAATATGTTGTCTGATGTATTTAAAGCCTTATCCAGATTTCAGTTTACAATCATATTGGACCTCATCAGCTCTCATGTAGAAGGTCACATGTATTCAATGTGCCCCAGAATCCTGTAATTGTGTTTCCTCATCTGCAAATGATGCAATTTGTACACATAATTAAATTTCAGTGTTCCATTATGTGATTGTAGATGTTGGCTCAGTTGAAGGTTGGAAGGCTAGAGATTTCATCTTCCAGGATAATTCACTTTCTTTTCATCAAGATAATGATTTCATTTTAAACTTCATTATTCATCAAATTTGGTAATAAAAGGGGCATGTTGAACTTTGAATGAATTGATGGAAAACCCAAAAAAAATGTTGTAATCAAGATTCTTCCACATTCCCTCTCCAAGTTCTATGACAAAAATTAAATGTTATTTATTTTGTTTCAAAAACTAGGACACTCCATCACTCCTTTCAAACAAAACTCATATATATTAAAATAAACTTTGATCAAAAAATCTTGAACATAAATTCACCCAAATTGAACAAATTGGCAAAAAGATAGAGATCATCCTAATAAATGAACCCATGTTATCAAGGTATATAAAAACTCTATTAGAGACCATTTGGGTGAATACAAAGAACCCACACCCACAGCACTATGTCACCCCCAGTCAATTACAATATCTTTTTGACATAAAAAATAGGACAGTACCTGATGACTGTCCTGCGCTAATACAAACACACATTATAATCCATCACATTTCCGGTTCCCACCCAAAGGGATTGATGGTTTGCTCATTATTTGCAGCAATGAGGCTCTCTGATCAATATGATGGTTAGAAAACTCTGACAGTGTATATGGAAGCTTTGTGGGCAACTCTTGCAGTTGATCTCATTCCTTCTAGTTCCTCTACACCAAAGCAAAAATCTCTCACCACCTTATCTATTTGGGCTTCAGCTGCTGCTCAGATCAGTGCTTGCTTTCTCAACTTATCCCAAAATTGGCCACCAAGACTTCCTGGAGGGTAGGATTTTATCATCATTTTGTTTGAACCCCAAGCAGATGCAAATGTATCTATTGTTGGGTTTTTCCTTGTTGTGACTCAAAACCAAGGGCTGTCTTCCTTCAGAATCAGCAGCCCTTTTTTAGGAGAGCTCTCTCCGGTCGCACGTGGTGCACTTTTACAACATCTGATCTGTTGCTTCCTTCGAAGTTCGATCGTTAAGGATCTCCATGGAAACTGAGATCAATATTGTCTGCGGTATGTGCATCTATCAACGGGAGTCCCATAAATTATGGTTTTGCTGGGTGCAAATACCGACAGTGATACTTGATGAGTTCGGCTGATAGCGTACGAGCGAGACGGTTTTCAAAAACGTTGCTCACATTCAACGAACTCACCAAAGTGATCATCACGTTGTTCCGAGCCCTCCCTGACAGACCTATGACTACAACTTGAGAAGTCCCTGTTGTCAACGTCTGGCATGTCAATAAGTGTATAGTGGGTAGTGTCTAAAAGCGTGAAATGTCGGACCGGGGAAAAAATTACATATGTTCAAATTTCCCCGTACATGTAGGATTGAGATCACATCCTTCAAGTGGATCAGTTCCTTTCCGACCTTCAAATCCTATTGCGAACTCGAGCCAATTGGTTCCAATCGACTTTCTTTGGTGTCACATGTAAGTTATTTATCTTGATCGCTTTGTTGTCTTATATATCCAATACTGACAGGATCAATACATACAACAATTTTGTTTTAGGCTATCTCGAACACCGTACGAGCGTTCCAATCTCCAGGAAGAGAAGGATTTGGTTGAAACAAATAGGCAAACCGGTCCTCTTGTAACCATCCGAGAGTTTCATCTTCATCCCAAGACCAACAAGATAATGTTCAATCTCTTGTAAGTCGACCTTTTGCTTGATCTCATTCATGAATTTTTCTTGATTTATCAATTGTTTGATGCATTTGATAGCTTGTAGGCAGGCCATGAAAGTCAAATGTGGTTCTAATGCTGTCACTAAGACATATACATCTCATCAAACCATTTCTGGCAACTATGCAACTGATGCTGGCCTCGATGTATGTTTTCGCCCTTTTTTCTCACATTTTCATCGAAGATTGTTTTGTCTTATTGATTTCTGCTCTCACTGATACACCAGGTCACAATGCACCCATACGACTCTTTCCGAACCGCTGCTCATGGCTCTGTGACCAATGCTGACTTCAATCGATGACATTTTTTTCGTTTTTCCTTATAACTTTTTCAAATATTGACTTCTTGCTGTAATTCATGTCCTCACTGATGGAGAAGGTTGCAAAGCACTAGGAATTGTATTGTTTAATTTTCTGTATTGCAAATTACATTCTATGATGAAAATCTACTTTGTTGTAAAAAAGATGAAAAATTTAAAGCCCTTGAAACAACTCAGAGATAACAATTTCTGATAGCGGCCGATGCAAGGACTCCAAATCTGTGCTCGGATTCCAATTTGGATCAAATTTGTGGCACTGATAAACTTTTTGCTCCAAATACCCGATTTCACGCTTTTAGACACTACCCACTATACATCGCCGGTATCTCTCCTCGGCGTGACATCGAGAGCCTATTTTATAGCTCTGGAGGATATTTAAGCACACCATCGAGCTTCTTGAAATTCATGATTACTCCCATTCTCCGTCAGCCTTACACACCCTACTCGAAGATTAATACACTTTTTGATATGATTTCTCGCACCTACATTCTCATCATCTTTGCTCTTTTGACACTATTTGGGAAAAGCGAGTCCAGCAAGGACTGTAAATGGGCTTTTGAGCGCGTTCCTAATAACCCCGCATATTCGTGTAAGCAGAATATTTCTGAAAGGAGTCATGAACTTATTCAAGGAGTGCAACAAAAATATATAGAACTTGGGTTTAATACTTTTGGGATGTGCCTTTCCAGACTGCAGTGATCATGTCTCCACATATAAATATCCAAGTGCGGACTGCAAACCCCAACTACAACGTGAGTAATTGTCAGAAAATCTTTTCATGTGTCTAATGTTGCTAAGCAGTACTGATTCTGTCTAAAATGCAGCTAATGGTGTCCCTATAGCCTCAAAATGTGATTCCAATCAGTTTCCTACTGGACCTTGTCCAACTTGGAGGGCGTCAGGATACCACAAGACGAACAAAGTAGTTTCATACAGTGAGCTCAAGTACTCCAAGCAGCTATAGGGAGTATTTACTTTGCTTGATATCTAACGATCAAATTTATTGTTGATTTTCATTATCAAGTGTGTGATTTCTTGACCAAAAAAGGGGCCACCCCTGATAAGGACCAGTACACCAAGATTAAGTGTGAAATTTTGACAAATGTTGTTTGTAAGTCGACCATCAGCTTCAACTTTTTTTTCCACACTGAAAACTCCTGATTTTAAATTATATTATTGCACTTGTCAGATTGTGATGGTGACAATGGAGTTAAGGTGGGGAGAGATATCCCCTCATAGGACCCTGGAATGCCCCTATGGAGGTAAACATAGCATGCCTTGCAATGGCGCCAGTGTGGAACTTTTGCTGAGTTTGGTATGGAGATCATGATGGGTGCTTTTAGTGGTATCTCAAAACAAAACAAAAAGAAAAGCTTTTGAAACATGCTTGGGTCCCAAATTTGTGTGTAAAGCATTGTATTTCATGACATAAAACTTGTATCATGGTGATCCATTCTCTAAGTTTGGTACCCTTGTATTATTATATGTACCTGAATGTTGATTTCATTTTGATTTCACATTAAACTTAATGTACATGTATATCATACATATACATTTTATGCTTACCTTGGCCTATCACTATGGCTGAGGTCAAGCTTGTTTGGGGGAGCTTGGGCGGGGGATCAGCCTACTTTGTGTCAAGGTTTGGTTGCCTCTGTTATCAAATCCAATCCCGTTTTAGTGTCTTGCCAATCCTTTGGGGGTTCCCCGCACCTCCCATCAGTGAGTCTTGTGAGAGTCTCACCTTGTTGAGTCACCCCCAACTCACACAGGATCACATCTCTTGGTGATTACTTCCGTATTTCAGTCCTTCAAACTTTATTTTCTCCCAATTGTCATACCCACACTTAGTTAGAACATGCACTCTTTTGTGATTCACACTTAATAGAAAACCTTGTTCATTCAAACTTTGCCTCTCTATCTTCCATGCACATAAAACTAAACAATGATTTGCTTTGCTTGAAAATTTCCTGTATCTATTAGCCAGAGGAAGTCCTTTGTTCTTTCTCTTTCCTCCTTTGTAAATTTCTTCAAGAAAACCTCTACCACTTCCAATAGCATCTACCCACCTCCTTTATCCTTTCCTTATTCCACCCCATGTTGAATCTTAACAAAGTACTTGCCACTCTTGTTCTTTCCATTATCTTCATGAATCTCCCTTTTGATAACGTTAGTCTCCCATCACCTGACCTGAACAAGAACAGCAATCCATTTCATTTCCCTCCTCTGGGTTTCTTCTTAACCCACCTCTCTAGTGTGCTCACGGGATCAAGCACTGTAAACACCATTCAACTTCCCCAAGTTGGAAGTGAAAAATGATTGATAGTACAGTTTGTCATGAAAGGATCCAATGCTGCACACCTGAGCCATAAAGTCCATACTACATATATGCAGCAAGCTAAGTAAATATTTGTCTAGCATGTACATACAGGTCTGCTCAGTTTTTTGCCAATAAGAATAAATAAATCACATGTTATACAACATGTAAATTTTTCGACTTTGAAAAATTGTCCCAAAAATTCACTACATATAATCCAGTAGCTGCTCAGGTAATATTGTTGAAGCTATTTCTTAGTAACATAAAGGGTGTTACGTGCAGTTGAGTTGATGAGATTACACCAAAATGTTGAGTCAGTGTATGCAGTCAATCTTTTGAATGCTTTTGTCAATATGAAAAAAGTTACAGCATGTATTACATTGAATAACCTATCCTGAAAAGCAGATAACTGAGCAGAACTGTATGTACATGATAACCACCTATTCACTAAGCCTGCTACACATATGGAGTGCGGGTGTTATGGCTTAGGTGTGGAGTGATAGATCATTTTATGACAAGTCAAACTCCCAATCATTTTTTCCTGCCCACTTGGTTAAGTTGAATAATGTTTGCAGTGAAGCATTTATTTTAACAGTCTGTTCTGTCAAAAAGGAATTGTTTATCACCTGTTGGTTCATCCCTCTACTTCCTTTCTTTGAAAGACCTGATGAGAAAAAATTTGGTTACCTAGCCTATGGGGACTTAGTGGGGCTGGTAAGCCGCTTACCCTGACCACCAGCTCACCAGTGTTGGATGTAATGTAGTTTAACAACTTTTATTTATGGTCAAGAACTTCAAGTTACTCATGACACTGTCAACCTTGGTAGAATTACTATGAAATGAATTAGAGAATTATAATGAGAAGTGTTTGTGTTTGAGGTCAGGTGAAACTTAAATGATTGTCATTCAAATTAAGAGATGAAGAGAGTTAAGGCTGTGTAGTGACAAAAGAAAGCAATCAGTTCTATTTAATACTGGACATATGTACTTCTGTTGTTTAATTCTGGAATTTTTCCTTTTTCTTCTTCTCTACTTTTGTGATTCTTATATGTGAGTGTCTGTCTGCCTCTTTAGAATCATTTCCCCCTTATTGAAGAAAAAGATCTAAAGGTAAGGTATTAATTAAATTCTTTCCATTTTATATCATATTACTAAAAGACATATTAGTGCTTTTTTGTCTTTCTCTTTTCTATTACTATATGCTAGTTGCCATCTTAATATTTGTTCACTTCTGTTGAGTTTTTATAACTCCAGTTGTTTATTTCAGCCGTGTCTTGTCAACACATTGAGCTGAAGTTGTCTTCACCTTCTATAAAAGGTGTGTTTTTGTTGTGATGGTGGTACATGCTCATCAAAGGAAAAGATTCTAAATTTTTCATCATAATCTCATGTAATGATGATAATGATTCTTAATTTCTTCTTGTTGGTCTCCAGGTTGTCTATTGGATCTGGTTCCGCCTATCTTGTCTGCTTGGCTTCCTCCTAACTTGTGTGCTTAGCCTTGGTTTTGTTGTTCCAATGCTTGTTGCCTCATCAACACTCTTCCTTTTACCTTCTCATTAAAGTTCTTGATGTTGTTGATCTTCATTGATCTGTTATTTATGTAAGACTGAAGTTAGTTTATCTTCTCTTTGTGCAGCCATTGAAAACAGAAAAATTACAAGAATCTCTTCTCTTCTGAACTTGTGATATGTGGTGTAGAACTTATAACCCAACAAGGGTTATACAGAGCGTGAAGGGGATAATAAGGGGGCTCAAGTCGAAATATTTATGGCCCTTTCTTAAAAAATTGGGAGAAGTTTTTTACGGTACCGTGCTGTAAAAACTTCTCCCAACTCGTAAAAAAGGACCAAAAAAATTTCTTTTGGATCTCCTTCTGAGCAGTAAATTTACGCAAAAAATTTGGGATGCCGTATAACATTTCCCAATTTCAAAAAATTTTGCGTAAATTTTATGAAATTAGGGGGTTTCAAGTCAATAAATTTATGGTATTTTACAGTCCAACAAGTTGTCCGATGTTGCAAAATATACCGCAAATTTAAAAAAATCAGGACACCTTTTTAGGTGTCCCAAATGGTGTTGACCGTATATTTGCAGAAAAAAAACCCACTGTAAAATTTAAAAAACTTGTCTGTTTTTTAAAAAGTTTCACAAAAAATTTCTGACTTGAAACCCCCTATTGGGAAGAAAATTCACAATAAAAGTAGTAAAAATTTTTGACTTGAGCCCCCCTAATCTACCAATAAAATGAATAGTAAAAGATGTCTAAAGACTGCCATCCTAAAACAAGACAATCAGAAAGGGGAACTCTGTTGAATTGAGTACTGATAAGGCACCAGAGAAATATATCTTTTTAAAGAACCAAAAGCACACAGATTTTATCTCAAAAGCACAATCTTAATTACTCTCAACACTGCTATAGTGTTATTACAAAATGATAACTAAGAAAACAAAGCAATATCTTTTTGGTATTATTCCCAATAAGTCTTTTTTGACTATAACACTAAAGTCAATTTCTCTTTATAGCTATAATAAAGGGTGTATTTAAGTGACCAGGTACTATTAAAATAAGTTTATGATGAGTAACAAAATGATAAAGAAGAAAGGGGAACAACAATCCCAAAATCATCCTAGAGTATATATAATAATGTGTCACAACTATTGCAATGGTCAACCGCCTCAAAAACCAATCAATTTTGACCAAAAACCCCTAATAACCATATGATGACGCAATGTAATGACATTTTTACTAAGATATGATGTAATTTACACAGCCAAACATGATCAATGATGTAGTTGAATGATGTACAGCACTTCTTATGATGAATACAGGTGAGTTTTTCCTTGTAAACTAGCTGAAGACCTATTTTTGGGATTACAAATGTTTTCAAATGGTGTCCAATTTTGGATTACTAAAGTGCGTCTTGTAGAGCTCGTGATACTAATCAATAATTGGCGCCATATCAGTTGTTTTGGATATGCGATGAATAAGATATTGAGTTGTGAAGTTAAGGTTTTTGTATGTAAATTTTGTTACATGTATGCATGTAAGTGTAACATTCAAAGGTTACACCAGTTTCTTATTTCTCTCATAACTTTTGTTACATACCTCTGTTACTAATGATTTAAAGTTTGTACATTATGTGATCACCTCTTTTGCATTGAATGCGCCATCTAGCATCCTATTCTGACGTCATTTGACACATGTAATATGCTAAAACCCTTCATTTTTGACAAAATTCACACCTTTTCACCCCTTTGCACAGCTGTTACTCCTTCTTCCTTGCTCATGTAATATTAAATCAGCATCTATAACCTTAAAAATAACAGAAAATCCTCTTGGAAACCTTAAATATTACTAATACCACTGTCACATATGTAAACTACCTGTAAACCCTTGTTTACCAACTTCACAAAAGTACCATTTTCTTAATAACTTCTATTTCTCCTTATCAACCATCAAGATTAAAGTCGTTGCTGGATAACATAATGCTGTTCTTTCATATTCTGACCTCACTAAACCCATGAACCTAATATTAATCCCCTAAACACCATTTCCAAGCCTGTATACCTATATTTTCAAGTGTTCTTTATGTTTTTCTTTCTTTCTGTTCTTTTTGTAATTCATCTGTTAATAGTTTTTACTTATCTTAATAAGTTTGTTTAAATGATAAAATTATGTGAAGATTAAAATATATGTAATATAATTGATGTAATTTAAGATTTGTTTTTTGTTTTTGATTGGTCTCATAGATTGATCACCACAGCATATGAGTGGTGAGAAAAGCATTGGGGGAAGAAAAATTTCCTACTGGATAAATTTCTATTACCTCTATTTGTAAAGGCCCGGTACCAGGACTTTACTCTTAAGAATCTTGGCACAATGTAAGTCCAATGCTCCTTATAATGACTCCAGAGAAGGATCACTCTGTCACTGATATAAAGAAACATTTGGTGGAATAAACACTCAGCAGACAGGCAGTGACAATGGTCAAAGTGTTGTTGGTCAGACTAGGGATACGCTTGGTGGGGCTCAAATCCCTGTCCAGCATAGCCCCAGTCTGACCAACAACACTTTACAACAGAGTGATCTTTCTCTAGAGTCATTATAAGGAGCATTAGACTTACAATATGCTAAGATTCGTCTTCTGAGCAATTTCTGTTGAAAGACAAGTTGCATGTGTTTCTCAGTGTTTGCTTTAGAAAAGCAAGTCACGCCAATTGCCTCAAAACAATCATCATATCTAATGATCAATGTATCATGTTCACAAGGTAACATCATAGGGAGAATCACAAGTATAAATTTGAAAGATCTGTATGATATCTATTAACATTACTTATGAGGATACTTTCAAAGATCATTAGGAACAACTGCATTCTTTTTACAAGGTTTATAAGTTTCTTAAAAACATCACTCCCTGGGTGAATGATGATCTGAGATTTAGGACCAATATTATATACATAGATGATTGGCAAACAAACAGGAAAAGAAAGATGAATCAAAGCATGGGATTAAGTGGAATGAAAGGATTTTTTGGTCCGGGGCAACAGACTTGCAACGGACTTGGGCTTACGGCCACCATACTACGGGCATGGAAACCTTGGACAACATCTGTCCGAAGATTCATTGACATCCGATGATGCCTCGGACTCTGCAACCCGAGGCATCTATCGAAAACCCCGAGTCTGTTCACGGGCTCGTGAGGGGTTATGGAAAAATCCGGGGAGTGACTCAAAAGTTCTGCTCATCCACTTTTGAACCAGGCGTTGTTGCTGATTACTTTACGCCTGGAATTATTTGAATCATGGAGAAGCAAAGTGTGAATAAACGAAGTCAAAAATAGGACTACAATCTCAAAAGATCGACTTCATGTCTTCCATCGCCTACGACCTCTTTGAAGCTGCACCCAGTTGGGTTCGCCTTTCCATTGTTCTCGGTTTGAGTTATTCGGCATATCTGGCATGGTCTGCTGTTGTTCGCTTCAATCGCGAATGGAAGGTGGCGAGGTAAGCTTCAGCACGTTTCATTTTTTATTGGCACCTTTCCAGAATTTTAGCTGACCAGATTCACCTCTACCAACATAGCCGTATTCTTGACGAAAGGCGTAAAGCTGGGATCCCCGATACTGATAAACGCCCTTTCAGAATTGCGAAGGCTGCAGTAGATGCCACGAGATCTTCCTCAGACCATACTTTGAAACACAGAGGTACCCCAGCCTTTTGATCAAGCCTTTTTATCATGCCATGGCCTCCTGTGATTAACCATTCCCGTGTTTTCTCAATAGTTACCTTCAGTTCAGATTTGCATGACGGACTTCAATCCTCGCAGAGCTCTCCCAACAACACTCGGGAGGAGGGATTGGAAAGAACGAATGTGTCTTCAACTTCAAGATCCAAAGCTCGCCGTCGATCATCTCTCGCCCCACGAACATCTACCACGTCAGATTCCAAAGCTCCTGGAAGCTCTCGTATCAATTCTCCCTCCAGTCCAGCATCCGTAGCGCCATTGGATCCTCATCAAAAATCGGTAAAGACCTGATATCCCATTCAACATTCAGTTGATTTCCTCGGCTGACAAACGTAATTCTGGGGGCTTGTATGCGTGTATCTGCTTACAGGACCAGCCATCGCGCTTGAAGCACAAACGAGCATATGCTCCATCGGAATACGCTCCATCAGAATTATCTCATTGCGGAAGTCCTGACATCATTTCTCAAACTAGGACAACCAAGAAAGTGAAAACCAAATCCACGTTGAAATCCCCTAATAAGCGTGGCCTTCCGAGCACAGCTGAAATCAACCGAAAGAAAACCAAACTTTCACTCCCGGGCGATCTTAGCATCCAGGAAGGGCCAGCCGAAGATGGATACGGGAGTCAGGAGGAGGATAGTCATATGACCGAGATCGAGAAGGGTCGGAAGAGGATACTCTCTCAAGCTGTTAGTGAAGCAGAGCTATCTCACGAGCTGAAAAACAAGAGAGGCAAATCAGCGAGGCAGCCAGATGATGACGAGCTCGAACGAGAGCAGACCGACATGAACGATTTGCCTCCGTCTGATGGTGACAAAATGCAAGAGGATGACTCGCTGGAAGTTGATCAAGATGTATTTATGATTGCGGAGAATGGACAAAGGAAGAAATTGATCACCATCAAACCTCTTTCAGATAATCAAAGTGATCAACAAATTGAGGAAGACTCTACTGAACGCCGATGGGTCACTCGTTCTGAATTCGAAAGACTCAAACGAACAGGTAAATTACATGACTCTGAAGAAATCTGGGATGATCGATCTACCACTCCTTCTGACACAATGAACATCTCTGTCGACTACTCGATCTCAAACCCTACTCAATCTCCGAGAACTCGACCGACTACTGAGGTTGAGTATGGCCCGATCTGGAGTATCGAGGGCAAGCCCAGCTCAAGGCCAAGCTTGTCTGAAGCTCCATTGACCGCCAAGTTACGCACTAGTGCACGTCCTAGAAACTCTCTTGGCCGCATGCGACTCAGTTTACCTCCGGATCCTGTCTCTCCCGCTCGACGCTCCCGCTCTAAGATAAATTCCTTGCTTCAAGATGATCGATACATTGACGATAGAACTTCTGGTGAAAGTCAACTTGCCATTCAATCCACGAGCGAAGAGCAAGCGCGTCAGCCTAGCCCGAACGCCGAGGTATCTGGCCGTGCAGCCCAACTCTCCTCACCATCTGAGACTCTTAATACTAACCCCGTCTCAACGCCCCAGCCTCAGCAGTTGCACCCTTCATCTACAACGGGACATGCTTCTACCACTTCCACGGCTTTCAATGTGGGCACGGCTGCTTCCAAACAGCAGGCCCCCAGCGGTGCAGTGCAGACGGGCAATAGCAACACGTCACTATTTGCGCCCAAAGCCACAAACAGTTTTTCTTTTGGCTCCGCACCACCGCAGCATGACAAAGCACCCCCGAGCGTGTCTCTATCAGAAGTAAGCAAGACGCAGCCACCTGCCTCTTCGTCACCCTTTTCGTTTGGAGCCGTTGCAGCGAACACGGGGTCGATCGCCAGCCAGCCTCTTTTTGGGAATACCAATGCGAGTTCAGCATCCTCGAGTTTCGCCCAATCTACTCAGTTCAGTACCTCAGAAACTCTGCCCAAGACTGTAGCGGTGGCGCCTAAAGTGGATCTACCCAAGCCGTCACCCTTTGCATTCAACTCTATTTCCTCGCCGGCACCAGTCAAAGAAAAGTCGATATTCCAATCCTCTGAATCCTCTTCAGCTTTCAGCTTCAAATCAACCAATAGTCCAGGTGGGGATAAAGCGGACAAACCTGGGTTCTCCGCCGGTACTTCACAACTTCCACCCCCTCAACCTACTACCAAGCCCGCTGCATCATCCTTTTCGCCATTCGGAGCATCCACCACGCCATTCAGTTTCCAGACCGGCCAGCCGAGCACAAAGACAGACAACATTAAACAACTTGCCCGAAGCTCCGATCCAATCTCTGGTGCATCTCCGGGCCACAAGGCCGACGCGATATCACACAATAACGACACTAGCGTTAAGTCAAACACAATAAGTACAACATCGAATTTTTCGTTTGGTCCTAAATCTACCACTGATCCATCTTCAAGTAAACAGGTATGTGTTCTTTGAACAAATCGAGTATATTCGAGAATGACTGACAATCGTTGGTTGATGCTTCATCAACTATTCCTCATTTGCAGATACCTATAGATGCTAATGCCATATCGGCTACATCTGCATCTCTCTCTGGTTCCGGTTCTGACTCGTCCTTGACTCTTGAAAACGATAGTCCATCCCAGGAGGTTAGCGTTAGCCAAGAAAAGTCAGGCTCAACAGCTGGTCAGGAAAGTACACCAGGAAGGAGAACGGCCAGGTTGAAGTCTAATCGCCTTACAGCAGGCCCGCAAAGGGTACTAGCCAATGCGATGTCTAATGTGGGTAAACAAGTGGGCTTATCTACCGCGAAACCGCTTCAGAATGAACCGAACAAATCCACCGAAACAATTGCTGAAGAAGCTGAACCTGCTACAAGTTCAACTGAAGATGGCGCGACCAAAGTAAGCACCTCAGGTGACCTCGCTCGTCCCAATGGGTTCGGTAATGGTAAGTAAAATTTTTCGAATAGCTCGTCTGCTTATTCTTCAAATGCTTCATATATCCATCTTGAGGAAAAGAATCGGTTTTTGCTAGTAGTGAACTGACCTCCCTTGCTCTTGGCCTGCAGTCAATGCTTCTACAGAAGGCACGAACAACCCGTCCACTTTTTCATTCAGCGCGGCACCACAGTCGGAGAGTACTCAATCTACGACCTCTAAACCTGTATCCTGTCAGTCACTTTGCTTTTGTTTCATGAGATTACAAGCCGCTCATAAATTTTACCCTTCCTCAATCGATCGACGAATTGCAGTCACGGCTGCATCTGCGGTTCCAACCTCAACTGTGTCTGCCTTTGGGTCTGTAACTACTCCATCATTCTCTTTTGGTACCCCAGCCAAATCTACAGCAGCTCCGACCTCATCACTTCCTCCTGTATCAGGAGGTGGGAATAGTGCATTTAGTTTCGGGTCGACCGCTACACAAAATTCGAATCCTTTGAATGAATCGTCAAAGCCTGCATCAAGCTTTTCGTTTGACGCTAAGTCGAGTAATAATACTAGTACGTTTGGTAATGCACAACCAACCTTTGGAGCTTCATCATCGGCTTTAACGAATCCATCGGCTTCGACGACAACTACTACACCTTTGTTTGGAGCTACTTCCAATGTGTTTGGAAATCCTACGGTCTCTTCGACAACTACTAATATTTTCGGAAAGCCTACAGCCTCAAACACCACTACGAGTGTGTTTGGAAATCCTACAGCCTCTTCGACTACTCCGAGTGTGTTTGGAAATTCTACAGCTTCAACCACTACTACAAGTATGTTTGGAAATTCTGCAACATCCACCACTAGTCCGAGTATGTTTGGAAACCCCACGGCTTCAACCACTACGCCAAGTCTGTTTGGTAATCCTACGGCTTCAAGCACTACTCCAAGTTTGTTTGGAAACCCTACTGCTTCTTCAGATAAACCGGTCTTCGGAAACCCTGCTGGTTCTTCCTCTGCATTTATCTTTAACACTGGTACTTCTTCGACAATTAATACAAACACCGCCGTGAGCACGCCTCCTACGTTCAACTTCACTGTTTCGGCACCTCAAGTGGCCACGAAGGACGATGATCAAAAGAGATGATAAAGGATCGTGTAGCTTTACTTGATATTCTTTTTTTTCCCAAAAACCTGTCTTTTCATTTTCATTTTCATTAAATTTCTTTCAAGGAGTTGATAGTCATATAAAATTGGTACTTTTTCTTTACAAAATAAACTCCAGTTTTTAGCTTTACGGTTAGATAGTTTATTAATGGCGGCCATGCATTAAAATTTGTGAAAAGTTTAAAACATTATTTTGGATGTGTTACAGGCATGTGTGTTGTGATGATTTTGTTTTTTTTGTTCAAAGAGGAGATCAGGGATGATATGTAGATAAGAATGAATAGATACATATAGAGCTAAAGTCATCATTACAATATAGGATTCATTCATTTTTATGATATTTCTTTGAGCTTGATTTCTGATGAGATGGATGTCAAGGTCAGAAGTGGGATCATAAATCCAGTCTTCTTTGATCATGAACTACAGATTCCTTATGTTTGAGAGAATTTCATTCCAAGAGATGCGAAGAAGTGGTACATATAGAGTTATGTACTGAAGACTTTCTGGATTTGAGCGTGTACATAGTACCCCTGAAGACTTAAGTGGTTACAGGTTGATTTTAAGTGTTAAGTCAAATCTTAAGTATCATGCCCCATTCCGATTGTACCCCCAATGGCATGCCCATCGTGGTTTTGGTCAAAAATCTGATTAAAGTTTATCAAACCCATAGAACCAACCAACTAACTGATAAGGGAAAACTACTTCATACCATTCCATCAACCACCATGCCATCTCAATCAATCCTTCGACCAGCTCTTCGTAACTTACGATTCACTCACTCTCGTCCTACCCCCATCTCGACTCCGAGTTCAGCAAACCTACGATCTTCACTCAATGCATATGCTGATTTATCTCGTTCAGCCATTCAATGTACCGCACAAGCTCGTGTCAATCGATTAACTTCAAGACTTGCTAGTTCGGCTGGTGGTGAAATCCAAATGACAGTTCGAGATGCTTTGAATACTGCAATGGAAGAAGAAATGAATTTAGATGAAAAGGTTTTTATTATGGGTGAAGAAGTCGCTCAATACAATGGTGCTTATAAAGTAGGTCAATTTTTTTTGGATTGGGTTTTTTGTTTTGTTTTGAAAAATTGTATTGAATAACTCTTGGAATTCCTCACACAGATTACTAAGGGACTTTTAGACAAATTTGGAGAAAAACGAGTGATTGATACGTTAGTAATCAGATCTCATCTTATCTTCTTTGATCACAATTCACAGTATGGCTTACGATTGATACGCTTTATACAAACAGACCCATTACTGAGTCTGGATTTGCAGGTATGGCTGTCGGTGCTGCTCTTGCTGGGCTTCGGCCGATTTGTGAGTTCATGACTTGGAATTTTGCCATGCAGGTTAGCAATTCTACCTACTTTCAAAGATATATTTCTCTTTTATCATATTCTTGTACTAGATCATCACCTCTAGTATGACTCAGAGAAAGATGTGGCTGACATGTGGGACACTTTTTAATATCTGTATCTTATAGGCAATCGATCAAATTGTCAACTCTGGTGGTAAAACATTTTACATGTCTGGTGGTAGCACACCTTGTCCAGTCGTCTTCAGAGGTCCAAACGGTGCTGCAGCTGGAGTGGCTGCTCAGCATTCTCAAGATTATTGTTCATGGTAAGTTTGAAGAGATCTTGATCATAACCGATCATGTTACAACCAATAGCAACTAAACGAACATTGCACCTTCAGGTATGGTCAGGTCCCCGGTCTTAAAGTAGTCTCACCCTGGTCAGCCGAAGACGCCAAGGGACTTCTGAAAGCCGCAGTCCGAGATCCTAACCCAGTGATCGTCTTAGAAAATGAAATCCTCTATGGACAATCATTTCCAATGTCAGTAGAAGCTCAATCGGAGAACTTTTTACTTCCGATTGGAGAAGCCAAAGTAGAAAGAGTCGGAAAGGATGTTACAGTCGTTGCACATTCTAGAATGGTCGGCTTGAGTATCGAAGCAGCTGAAGCTTTACATAAATCTGAAGGCATTCAAGCCGAGGTGATTAATCTTCGAAGTATTCGACCTTTGGATATTGAGACTATTACTGCTAGTGTTAAGAAGACTGGACGACTGGTCGTTGTGGAGGGAGGTTTCCCTATGTTTGGTTAGTCAGATCGATCATATCTTTTGGTTTTAGGTTATGGTTTATTGACTTGAATATCGATCGGGTTGAAAATAGGTGTTGGATCTGAAGTCGTTGCTCAAATTTGTGAGTCTGAAGCATTTGATTACCTCGATGCTGCACCCGAGCGTGTAACAGGAGCCGATATCCCTACACCTGTATGTTGCAATTTTTTTTTGATCACTTTATTCTTAATGTGATCAGGTACTGATTTCAGAATGGATGAATTATCATTTTTTTTCTACAAAAAAAGTATGCTGCCAATCTTGAAAACTTGGCATTCCCAGATGTACCAGTGATTGAGAAAGTGATTCGTAGATCATTATATAAGTTTTGATGAAAGATTGACGGATTAAAATTTGTTAAGATGATCTCTTGAGATGAAAATCACTTTTGATTTCTTCTTCTACTTTGAACTCTTTTGTATATGAGATTCATATTTTTAGAAAAACTTGAAGATTCATTACAGCAAAATCAATACCATTTAAGGAATCTAGGTTTGGTTGAAAATCAGTTTGAAAATCAATTATCTTGGTTACTTTTAGAATTGCTTGGAACTTGGAATCAAGTTCTTTTTTGTCTTGTCCTTTTTTTGGTTGAGGTCTTGAAAGTTTTGGTAATTTATGAGAGGAAGCTGAATTTGATCACTTCAGAGAGATCATGTGAGATTTTGCTGGCTTATTACTCTATGCACAGCTTGATTTTTATTCCTTGGACAACAGCTTTGGTTGAGATGCAACACTATCCATTTTCGACTACTCCTGGCTGGAGATTTCTTTTTTGTGGAAATAGTCTTACCACGCAGTCGAACTGGTGCTTCTGGTAGCCATCAGTATGGTGATTCTTGATGCTTGAAAGACAAAATAAATCTCAGGTTTTTTAGCCGCTCCATATTGGTTAGCGACTAATGTCTGCCAAAGTCTTCCGCAGCTTGGTGTCCGACGCTGCGTACCCCGAACATTTAAAACCAAACATCCGTGTTTACCTCCGTACAGTCCATCGGCAGAAGCAAACATGGATTGTGCCTTTTCCTCATTTGACTCACCTCTACTTGCCGCCCGCCCACTTCATTCCCGAGCACCATCGGAAGTCTGGTCTATCGGCCTGTTCCCTTTCCTACGGGAAGGAAGATATTTTGAAAACCCATCACACTATCAAAATGAGTAACAGTACCTTGATTCGATTTTATGTTCACACAGAACGGGCAATGTTTGACCAAGTCAATGCATCTGATCCAATCGTTTCATCCAGTAATCAACTCCTACCGCACAATGAATCGTGTTCATATTCATCTCTTTATGCATCCCGAAAGCAATAAACCAGATCAAGAATGAACTATTCCCGCGCGATTGTCTGTGACCCAAGCATCGTGTCATACGTGTACCACAAAATAAAGAGACATAAAGATGAGTAATTTTCTTTCCACGTCGCCGCTCTTTATCTAGATAAAATTGCAAATGTTTGCACGACCTATCTGCCAACACGTTATTTATCCAGATTAATAAGTATTTAGTCATTCCTTAATTATGTGTGTGCAAGGTTGAGCTGAGGGAGGGTAGGATGCAGGACGGTGGATCACAATGATCTTCCCGCGGACGTTCCCATATATAATCTAATCGAAAGTGCTGGTGTTTATATACATGCAAGATGTTCGCCAAGCCGTCCTCGGTGAGGAAATGTCTCCCGGAATCTCGGTGGGGGCATCATGAACGTAAGATAGATGAGCGTTGTCAACGCCGCATTGCTCTGATGACATATCTTCTTTCGTCGAATGGATGGGAAATTATGATCCGTCATGAGCAGCATTTCAATCAACGGCCAAAGAACTCTCACTTAGAAGTTGTCGCAGGGATCGACCATTGTGACCGTATCAGCAGCTTCTTTGATATCTTCAATGTATGAATGGCCTAGAAGAAATTATTTTCCTCCTCGAATAATTAATTTCGAGGCCCTCATATCCTAGTTCTCCAAACAAAAGCGATTCATTTAATCAAACTCGATTTGACACGCACCCATCTGATGGAGGAAATATCCGTAATCAATGATGATAGTCAGGCCACTCAAGATATGCCACCGGCAAGCCAGGGTGAGCTATTCATGTTCTATATCTCTACTCAGATTGAAAATCAATCTTTGATCCTTTCGTGACTAATTCTTTATCTTCAATTCTCCAACTCCATAGGTGATTGGTTAGAAAAAATGTTTGAAGTGACAAGTGAAAAGCAATCAGAAAACATTTTACCCAATCCAACACATTCACAGATGTTGGTTCTTCCAAGGATAAACCCGGACTCTAGACTGGTAATGTCAGCCGAAGAAGACGAAGACTCGGCAGTCGAATACTATTTTAAGAGATTGGAATCACATCATCAAAGTGAGTGATCTTATTTAATACATTTAAAATCAAGTTCGCTCTTTGATATTCATCAGACGTGGTTTTGAAGATCTTGGAGTTCCTAAAATAAGTATGGGGTCTATTAAAGGATCTTATCCTCGTCGTCCAATGGTTATTGCTCCCATTGTAAAAGCACCTCCTATTCTACCAACGGAAGAATCGAAAGAAAACACGACCAATATTGAAACCCATATAGAAATGCCTATAGAAGATACCAAACCTTTAAGATTGCCAAGTCGTCAACGTATGTTTCAATCTTTTTCGCTGTCTCAATGACGATTTGCTAAGGTTAATTTACATTCTCTCAATTGAATCACCTTTGTTGCTCGCTTTGATTCTTGATGATAACTTTGGATTCAAGGTGTACGAGATTCAATTTATAAAGCATTCGTAAGAAGTCGTCCAGCTAAACGTCATGAACTTCAAGCTCCTATGAAAGAAGAATCAAATATTTGTCGAGAATTGACAAATTTTGAAAGAGAACTTGATTTACTTATGTATTCTCTTGTTGAGACTCCTTCTCCGAATCGTCAAAGTGCGTATCCATCCTGCTTTCCTTTTTTATAGTTCAAATGCGCTAATCAAGGTAGATTCTTATCTTGTTTATTGACAACTTGTTACATTGATTTCTAGCAGCTCTTCACCCTTTTAGTAGGCCGCGAAGGTATATTGGTCCTAAACCCGCACCTCGTAGTCCGATAAAGATATATCCACTTACCGAATTAAATGATGTAAAAAGAGCATCTGCTGAACCTTCTCGCAAGGACAAATGCATCGATCCTAAACGTGAGTTCATTTCCGGTATACATACTTATCATTTTCTTAGTCTTGTCACCGGGAATTGATATCTTGCAACTTACTTTTGGTCAAAGTTCAACATACGAAACCCAAAAGCAACTTCAACGCTTCATTATGTCAACTTCCGAGTATCCCAGAAGCGGGACTTACAGAACCTAGAAGAAGTTGTTCTGGAGTGATCAGATCAGAAAGAAGAACCAGTCAGTCACCCCTTATGATATTCAAAACTCGACCTCGCAATCGTCAAGGTAAGTACCAAACCTTTTCTTGTCACTTCTATAAAATTTATAAAAAATCTTATCATGTTTTTTCGTGGTTTTGTTTATTAGTATTAGAATCACAATTGAGAATTGCAGAACAAGAAAAGAATAGAATCAGTTTAAATAGAATGCGTAAATCGATTGCAAGTCTACCTAAAAGAATTTCAGATTCAATGATGATCAATCGATCTTCAACAAATAGAGATTGGTTCCTTTTCAATGACGAAGAAGAAGGTGTTCTAACTGGTAATTTTTACTACATCTTTTTCTCTTGATTTCTTATCTTAATTAATTTTTTTCTAATATTTTTTGTTTCAAAATCCTTACTCAAAATTATTCAGTAACTCCTCATCCTCAGCGTCGTGAATGGCTTGTTGGATTCATGAAAATGATGTTGATCTTAGGGTTACTTATTCCTATCATCGTTTTGGTCATTGTGTAAGTCTTTATGAGATAATTCACTCTTTCTTTTGTCTTTTGAATCTTTGTCCAGGAAGAAATGGCTTGTATGGATGATGATTGGCTGACTTGATTTAATGGCTTTTCTTTTTTAGGTTTCACAAAAGAGATAATATAGTACTTGGAATCAACTCAAGTTAAATCTATGACAAATTCTTTCTAGATAAATTGAATATATTCCATCATCTTTATTAATTCAAAACTTATTGGGTTCTTTTTGGGGATTGGACATTGTATGTAATATTTGTGGGAATTAATGGTTGGAAATGGGAACTCTTGGATAGCATCCCATAAAAAGAGAATATGGGATGGGGTGAAACGTTTCAATGTATAAAATGATATGAAAGAAATGGCAAGTAATAAATTTTGAATAATAATAAACAAGAAGAAGATAGATTTACTAGCGCTCACTGATCTTTGACTACTATACAAGACTTGTGGGTTATAGATGGTGATTTTGGGACAAATATTGAGGGTAGACAAGAGGTACAAGATTTGAGCCGGAGTAGAGACATGGATTGGAAGTGTGATGGAATTCTCTTCTGGTCATTGGGTTCTCGACCGTAGGATAAGCCATCCTCATAGCACCATGATTGACAAACGGCTGAAGAATAGGCTGAAAAGACAAAGGTGGAATTGGAGTCGAGATAAATTGAAAGGGTTCCAGGAGTGAAGTGGGATAGAAGGCTCCTGGTTGAGGATTGTAGAATTGAGGAGAAGAAGTCGAAGGCGCGGTTTGGAAAGGAAGTACCCGATTGATGTTTATCGGGGTTATGAAAGGACTTGTGGAAAAGTCGCTGAAAGTGGAACAAGTCCCTTGAGGGGTGAAGGCCACAGTCGCAGGACCTCCGTCGAAAGAGGAGTTCGTGAGATCGGTCACGTATTCCAAGAAGTCCAGGGGGAGGGTGGAGTTCGTAGGCGCCGAGATTCCAAAGCCGCGCTGAGCCTCCCCAAAATGATGAACGTCGAGATATGGTAGCTCTGCACCCGGAACCTTGAGCTGAGGTGGCTCTTGATACGGACCACTGGCTGTAAGCGTCGGCAAAGGAACCCCATGTGACTTTGGTTTGCCTTTGGCTTGATGATCTCCGGACCTTTTCACTTTCTTGACTTCAGGTCCTTTCCCTTCTTTCGTGACACTGACGATTGTTGGCGTTCGTAATTTGTTTAACCGTTGCAACTCCTTTTGAACTTTGACCAAAATCTTTTCCGTCTCGGCATTTTCTACATCAAAAGACTTGTGTAAAGAATTCTTGTGTTGTCTAAAAGATAAAATTAGAGTCAGTCATAGCTCTTGTGCTTAGATGATTATGTATCTCTCTCACCTCCAGTTATCTAGACGACCAAAGGATTTCCCGCAGTGACATTTGAAGGGCTTTGCCTTGGTATGCTTCCTATAAGAAGATAAATATCAAAGAGATACCGTTAGTTCAAGAAATCAATGAGAAGACGAGTCACGCAATGGGCATCATACCTTTCGTGTCTAGCAAGATGTTCAATACGACTGAATTTTTCAGAGCATCCTGGATCCAGAAAGCACTCGAAAACCTTACAAGTCGGGAGAGTTGTAGAGCTTTGCGAATCTCCCAAGCTCAAGTAGCTATCGGACCTTTTGCGTTTCGTAATCGTCGAGCAAGCTTGCGATTGATCAATCGACGAAGCGTCCACTTGCGCTTCACTCTCATTTGGAACAGAGTAAGGCTGCTCAATACCAAGACTTCCATTAGGATTGTCATTTTGTAGGTCTTTTTCGAAAGTTTCGGATTGATCGTAGAAAATCTGCTTGAGACAATTTGACCAAGATTCAGAATCTAAGGAATTGTCGGTGGAGGTACAATCCCCATTTTCATGATTGGGAAAGCTCGAGTGAAGAGGTTGACATTCTGATAATGAAGGTATTGGGTATTCTTGTGGAGGTGGAGGTTTTAAGGTGTGGGAGTTTGGATGTTGTACTTGAGTACTCGAAGATGAAGATTGAGGCTCCGTGAGATCAAAGAGATCATTCCAAGGACTGACAATCCATCAACGAAGAAAAAGAGAACGCGAATCAGTGACCTGAACAACGTGTATTTCCTCAACCTCAACGTCAGCAACACCCATGCATTGGGCAATGGTCAATGAAATCACGTCTCAAGTCTGCCCAAAACTCCTCTGAATCAAAAAAGAAGGACAAGTTTTCAGACAGAAACCAAGTGATCAACTCACAATTGTTGAAGGATAAGATCAATGGACTTCTCTAATTCAATATGCGAGCTGAAAGACATGATGAAGCTGTTTTTTTGGTATGTGAATTGGTAAAAGGGTTGAAAGCCTAAGCAAGAAGGAGGTTTGAGAGAAAGGTACGCAAGAAAGTAGGGAAATCTTCAAGAGATGTGTGGGTCAAATCCGCTTCTCTCTCGCCAATGAGACGTCCTTTTGAGCAGTTGAGGAGCTAACTGCATGACTTTCTCCCTTAAAAAAGCCGCGTAATGTTCGTCTCATGCCTTGCACACAGCTGACGGTTCATAGACTTTCTAAGATCTGAGGCCGAAATTCGGAATCAAAGATTCATCCTGCAAATAACACCGGAGTGAAGATGGCTGAGATTTCATGAAGAGTACCATATTTCCGGTTGGTAACAAAATACTTCATGACCCTGGTTGAAGAGTCGTCGAGTCTGCAAGTTCGTGACATAGTACGACCATGAACCATTCGATGGTCTTTACTGAGGATACTACCAACAATCGAAAGATCATCAATGTGATGTTGATAGATGAGAAGTGGAATGAAGCTGAGAGTGATGAGAAGTCAAGAGATATTGCTCAGCAAAATAAGCTCTCGATGTGAGTTTGAAACTACAGTTGAATTTAATGTAGTTCTTGATAATCAGTTTGATGTGATCATCGTTCCGATTTCTGAGATTGCTTCGTCCTTTTGCCTTCCAAACCTCGATGAGAACGTAGCTTTCCTTTTCGAACTGTGATTGATAGTCTCAGTTGTTATTCGTTATGATAGGACGTCGTCTTGGCTTTCATATTGGTCATCGATTGGCAAAACTTCAAACTGTCACTTTCTCCTTCAGAATCATGATGACCTCTTCTTCCCAATCGCCTTCTCAGGTGGGCCGGTAGCTCATGAGACTCAAATCTGTTCTGTCTAGCTCACATCATTTGGTTATGAAAAATCCAGTTGAATGATCCATCCTTGTTCAAGCAAAAAGCTTATGTCAATGGGAATTGGTTGGACTCTCAATCCCAAACTACTTTCTCAGTCCAAAGTCAGCTCGATCATTTCTTCAGCAATTGATAGGGATAACTTACAAGTTTTGATGGTTTTCAATCTAATCATATCTAGACCCAGCAACCGGTGAACAGATTGGAACATGTCCTGATATGAACCTCGCCGACTTGCTCCCTGTAGTGGATGCTGCTAAAGTCGCTTTTGACAAATATAAACTTACTACCGCCAAAGAGCGACATGATCTACTCATCAAATTCTTTCATCTCCTCCGCGAATCATCTCAAGATATCGCCAGCTTGATCGTATTGGAGAATGGAAAATCTCTTGCAGATGCAAAGGGAGAGGCTACTTATGCCGCTAGTTTTCTTGAATGGTTTGCCGGTGAAGCCTTGAGGACATACGGTGACGTCATACCCACCACAGTTCCAGGTGTTCGTAATGTGGTCATCAAGCAACCGATCGGAGTCGTGGCAGCACTGTGTCCTTGGAACTTTCCAGCCGCCATGATCACTCGGAAAATTGCTCCTGCCTTGGCTGCTGGCTGTTCTGTTATCGTCAGTGGGTCTTCTTCCTCTTATCTTGATCAATTTGAAGCTGTTTACCAAAATGTTTTTATGCTGACTTGCTTTTGGCTCTTTTCTTTTCGTCTGCTCTCTTTTATAATAGGTCAAAGCACCTGCAGAGACTCCGTTTACCGCACTAGCACTCGCTGAACTCGCTCACCGAGCTGGATTTCCACCTGGCGTCTTCAATGTCATCACTACCGATGTAAATACAAAGGATATAGGAAAAGAGTTGTGTGAAAATACGACGATCAGAAAATTGTCATTCACCGGTTCGGTAAGCCAATAACCTTCGTGCTCTATCCGCATTTTGGATATTGACAAGTTTTGATGAGACTACCCTTAGACAAACGTGGGCAAGTTACTCATGGCACAGTCAGCTTCGAGTCTTAAGAAACTATCCTTTGAGCTTGGAGGCAATGCGCCGTTCATTGTATTTGAAGATGCTGATGTCGATTTGGCAGTAGCTGGAGCAGTTACTTGCAAATTTAGGTGTTCGGGTCAGACTTGTGTATCTGCAAGTGAGTTCTTTTTCTATCAAAATTAATTATATATTCAAGCAAGTGTATGACTTTGCTGATTTTTCGACAAAATATCATCCACAGATCGCTTCTTTGTTCATTCATCAGTCTACGCCGAATTTGCTACAAAACTAGCTATGAAAGTCTCTGAATTCAAAGTAGGATCTGGCTTTGATCCGGATGTCACTCATGGACCATTGATACATTCAAGAAGTCTTAAGAAAGTGATTGAACATGTAGATCGAGCTAAATCAAAAGGTGCACAGGTCTTGGTAGGAGGCAGAGTTCCTGATGATCCTCAATGTCGGAATGGATTTTTCTTTGAACCTACCGTTTTAAGTGAGGTACCAACCGGAGAGATTGACGGAGAAGAAACTTTTGGTAAGATCTTCTCGTATATCTTTCTTGTTTTCCCACAGTTCGAATATGGTTAACTTAAGAGAGCTGAACATTCTTGGGAACTCAATTACATAGGTCCAGTGGCAGCTCTATACAAGTTTGAAACCGAATCAGAAGTAATTCAGATGGCCAATGATACAGATGTAGGATTAGCAGGATACTTTTATTCACGTGATATGGGACAAATTTGGAGAGTAGCAGAAAGTCTTGAGGTAGGCATGGTAGGAGTTAATACGGGTGCGGTATCGAATGCTATGACACCTTTTGGAGGAGTGAAATCTAGTGGGTTTGGAAGAGAAGGAAGTAAATATGGGATTGAAGAGTATCAAATTGTTAAGTATATCGCTATGGGTGGAGTTTAGATCACATGGAGGTTGTCCTTTATATAACCTTTTTTTTTAGTTTTGTTGCTTTTTGTCATTGTAACTCGAACTCTTTGTTGGGAAGAAATTGATATGAATCAAACTCTTCAACATTGTCTATCCAATGCATCACAGTATCTTCCGAGACCCTCAACTACATTTCCAAGCGTATTGATCATCATGCAAACTACGTCGTGTGGATTAGACAAGCTTCGTCGGCATTTATGCCGCAACGACTCTGATCTGATCTGTCTACCTTGCATCAGATATTTCTCAGATCCGAGGAAACGTAAAGATTCTACTCTCATTGTTTCCCATGTTCAGGCCACAGCTAGAAGTCTGGATACCATGATGCTGATGTGGGTTTGGCATACGCACAATATTTTGCGGCCGGTGAGTTATGACGCCGACAGGTCTTGATGAAATGTCAGCCATCTTCATGTTAATATTATTCGCAGGACAAAGAATCGATCCCGGATTTTGCGTCAGGCGGCTCATTGACCATCATCCGTGTGTATGGCATGATAGGAAGATTGTACGATTTTTTCTAGGGAGAAAGTCGTGCAGTTTGCTTCTCAACCTGCTCAAAAGGACGTCCTGTTGGTGAGTGAGAGGAGGATTTGACCCACACATCTTTTCAAGATTTCCCTACTTTCTTGCGTACCTTTCCCTCAACCACCATCTTGCTTAAGCTTCACTGCGACTATCAATTCACACACCAACAATTTCCTCCGAACTACTCAGTACGTGCTTTGAAGAGCTTGATCCCAGTCTTGTATTCAACGTAGCCCTGATCCCGTACCTCAACTTTCAATCGTCAACCACAACATTCTTCAGGTTGATCATGTCTTGCAACTCGCAAGTTGAATTAGAGATGTCCCTTGATTTTTACCTTCAACAATGGTGAGTTGATGATCATTTAGTTGCTGCCGGAAGTCTTCACCCACTTTTTTGATTCAGGGGATTGTCGGTCATACTTGAGATGTGACTGATCAGTAGTGAAGTTGTAATTGATGAACCTCTTTGTTACTTCGTGTATCTTATCTTTCTTGCCTGGCGTCTAGTTTCTCGAATATAGCCTCCGATGCCATTCAGCCAGAAAGTCCACCTTACAGCATTCAAAATGTTGGTATCTTGAATCATCCTCCTTCTCAAGAAGACTTGATACCCTTTCCATCACCACCTCTCAAACCAAACCATCTCAGCCATCCCATCTCAAGTGGGGATTCAAATTTGGAATATTTTCTGAGCCCTGAGGCTTGGACCAACTCTTTCAACCTAGTTGGATTTCGTTCATCAGATCTCGTGGCCGAGAACTCACTGCCAGTGCAGACCCCCAGTTTTAATCCTGGAAGCTCGGCAGTTTCTCATCTTCACACTCGACCCAGTGAGAACACCCCAAAGTTGGATGCCGTCTCGGCTTTTTCGATTAAACACCCAGAAGCCAGTCCTTTGATCGGGAAGCGAAAGAGGTCTACCAGCTGCGAAAGGGTTGAAACCTCCGAAGGCTCTTCAAATGGTGCTACCCTCAAGGTGTTTGAGTGCAGACTGGATCCGGGCTGCTTTGAGACGTTTAGCCGTGTCGAACATCTTGCCAGACACGAGAGGTGTGTTTGCCATTCCTGTCCCCATATCCCATGTTTCTTTTGCAATGAGCTTAACGAACATGATTTATGTCTTTTCAGGAAGCACACCAAGGAAAAGCCTTTTCGATGTCACTGTCAAAAATTGTTTAGCCGTTTGGATAACTGGCGGTGAGAATGATTTTCAACTATCGGATAGATGAAGAGCTTTACTCAGTTTGATTCCATTTTCTAGACAGCACAAAGCGGCGGTTCACAAGCATCTTCATGTCGAAAATGCTCAGACAGAAAAGCACTTGGTTGAAGTTCAGAAGGGGCTTCAAAAGTCGAACAAACTTCGACAAGCAACGATTGTGGCTGCCACAAGTCAAGTCAAGGAGCCTAAAGGGAAGAAAGTCAAGGCCACGGCAACGAACGAACACAACCGCCAGCCTGAATCCAAGCAGGCTTCATCGCCACATTTCACAATCAGCGGTCCTTCGATGGATTCATTTCAGATTGAATTGAGCCCGGAACAGTCAACTCCTTACAATCTGAGTTTGGTTGGCTCTGTAGAATCAGCTCCGCAGACATCTAGGACTCAAGATTTCTCGAACACCTTGACGGATTCCGCGTTGTATTCGACCGATACACCTTCTAGACACTGTGACTTCATACCTCACGACATCTCGCCCGACCTCAGCGACTTTTCTAGAAGTCCACTCCCAATGCCTCTGAACATCAGTCGGGTTATCCCTTTCCCAAGCATGAATCACTCAACTTTCACTCACGCTCCTTATCCAGACATATACACATCTTCACTCTTCAACCCTTTTCCCACCTATTCCTATCCCGACCCATTATCTCACACGTCTTTTCAACCTACGCTTCAGGCATTCACAAATCATCCACCTATGATGACACATGCTAGCTCGGGCGTAACTTCTTTAACGTACCGTACAATTCCTAGGGTTCCTAGTCAATTGTATCATCCTCATGAATCGTTTGCTTATGGTACTTGTAATAATTTTCATTCACTCTATCCTGAATCTTTTCCTACTTACTCGAATGTATCCATGAAACATTATCCATCTGGTTCATAGCCAATGTACTTTTTCATTATAGTTAAAACACTTGAATTATTGATTTCTCTTTCCTGTTTTCCGTTTTTTGTTTTTCATGATTTGCATTAGCATGAAAGATTCATCTCATTTTTTTTCATGAGATGCTTTGTTATCTCTTTTGACTCTATTGATGCAGTGAATCTAGAATATTCATTTCTTGGTACAAATATGATTTTATTTTGATAAGTAGTGACAAAAATGGTCAGGACTGACGATGTGGTTGGTCTGAAATGATCCCTTACAATGTAATGTTACATACAAGTTATGAAAACACTGCATATGTATGTATTATGTAAAGAAAGAATGACACCACAAGGTAAATATAGTGATGGAGATTATAGTACCATGAGGACCTTGAAAATCCTACATGAAACTGACTGATCAAGGACCATTTTTTCATGCTTTTGGCTCTATCCTTGTCGCATACATTGATAGAATTTGGGTCCAAAAACCCAACCAACTTTGTTGATCAGTCTGTAGGGGCTCTCTTGGTGCTTATTTTCTTCATTACGGTATTTTACACACAATAGTATATTGACTATAATTCATCCTCATAAAGTGTTGTTAATGAGAGTGGAGATAGACAGGTGTTGTGTTGATCTATTTAGTTGTTATCTCTTTTAGAGTTTTACAAGTAAAATATTTATATAATTGAAAAGACTTGGATGAATAAGATGAATAGTGAGAGGGATAAAGCATTTTTTTGAGAATGAGAAATAACAGCAAGAACACAACATCACACAACTTAATAAACAAAATGATATGAAGTGTAAAATCAATAAAAATGAAATATACCCCAACTGGACTCATTCTTTTGATGATGCCCTGCAAACATATTGAATGGTTGGGACATGTGATTTCACATCACGACATGTAAGTGTGGTGAGGAATGCACAAAAAGGAACAAAAATGATCAAAAGAATTTGAAAACATTTGGCTAATGATCTGATTCCAAAAAATATGCTTCCTAAATGTTTCTTGTTACTTCTCAACATTTTTTATCAATCTCATCTCAAGAAAGGTCAATTTTGAGAGGTTCCATGTACTCAGACTCCTTATCTGTTAAACTTGGTTTATATTCTGTGATGTATCTGACTCTTCTTTGCGGGAAGAGTTCAAAGGATCAGCATTTGGAGTGTCTTTTCTTCCTTCTTTGTGGTCTGAAGGAATTGTGTTTCTCATTTCTTATGGTGGAGTTTTTTCTGGCATATTGTGGATACCCACTGCTTCATTCAGAGGAATGTCTTTTGGGTGTCAATGCCTGGGTGACCCAACAGGTGTGTTATCAGGTGTTCCATCTTGAGTGTTTCTGAGCTTGTCTAATTGGCTAGAATGTGGGAAAGACTGGGCTCCTGGAATATCCTGTTTGAAGTCTTCATCCATTGAATGTTTGGGCTTTTCTTGAGGTGCTTGGACTGATGACTTGTTTAGTGCTTCTTCGGCCAGGCTCAGATTTGGCCCTGATGATGTCTTGGGTTTGGGATCCTCCAAATAATCTTTTGCGGGAATCTGGTGTGTACCATCACAGGCTTTGTGAACACAGTCAATCTTCTGCGTCTGCAGACCTTTGTATGATCCATTCGGGTACCTAGCCGACCATATGATTAATTTGTATGGTCGGTCACACACCTTAGGATCTGTACTAGTACACAGGTAAGGTATTCCATCCGGAGTATATCTGATATTGTCTAATTGGCTAGAATGCGAAAAAGACTGGTCTCCTTGAATATCCCGTTGGAATTCTTCATCCATTGAATGTGTGGGCTTCTCTTGAGATGCTCGGACTGATAACTTGTTTGGTGTTGCTTCTGCCGGGCTCAGATTTGGCCCTGGTGATGTCTTGGGTTTGGGCCACGGAATCTTGAACTTATCTTTTAGGGAAATCATAGGTTTTTTCGCCTTGGGTTTAAAGAAGTTTGACTCTGCAATCCATTGTTTGATATATTTCCAAACTTTGGCTGGCCAAGTCAAGAAGATCATGCGGAGCTTTTCAAGAATCGATTTTTTCTTCTCTGCTTGAGTCAGTTTTTTTGGTTGGGTGGCTTTGTTGGTTTGATTAGCTTCGGCATCAGGACCAGAAAATGATTTGGAATCTTTGCTAGGTTTCGCACTTGGTTTGTTTTTTTCTGTATCAACCGTGACACCTTGTAGCATTTTTGATGAAGGATCCGGCGTATGACTCAGACCAGGTTTATCGTCAGCAATGGGAGCTTTTGCTACGCCATCAAGATTTTTGCTTCTCATGTTTCCACCTAAGGAATTGGCCACATCTTCTTCGAGGTTGGAGATGCCAGGTGTAGGATGGGAATGGCTCCAGCCAATCAATCCACACAGGATTAGAAGCGCGTAAGGGGCCAAAATGCTGAGGGATTTCATTTTCAAGCTAAAAGCTAGTAATCCTCAGTACCGCTCGTGCATCTATTGGTCGTTCCAGAAAAAACACCGATGGAAAGAACGTCAGGCCTTGAAATTTGCGGAGCACTGAGTCTGGGTGATTTGTGGATTGTATAACTGTACAGGAAGACAGTTCGAATCAGCAGAAAACGGAAGTCTCTCTTTCAAAGTTACTTGAATGATGAATGTAGAGGATTTTTAGCAAGTTCGTCGTAAATGTTGATGTCAAGAAAGATGAATGGTCATTGTCAAATCGATGCTCGGGCGCTGCTGGCATTTAGACCAAGCCTGCGTCAACAGAATGATCGGTTTGAGAAGAAGATAAAGTCCTACAGAACCTCGTGGCTTGCTTGAGGAAGAGAGATTTCAGCTGCGCCGCTATACTAAAAGCTCTCACAATATGTGTACGCTGGATTACTGGACGCGTAGGCGATCACCAAGAAGACATGTACCGCAGACGACGATAACTTTAACAAAACTTGGCACCCTCAACGAGAATCCGATCATCTGATTTAACGTGTGAGAGGACAGCGAAAATGCATATACGTAGGGAGGCTCTGCAATTTTTGATTACGCTTCGCTGATGGTATATCGTGAGTCGTACCTATAGCACTGATTAAGGGGCGTTGCATCAGCTTGTTCCTCGCAGAGCAATGCACGAGTGTCCGACTCTCAAAAGCTGGCTTTGAAATCCTCCGCGGTATGTACCATCATGACCTCGCTCCAACAAGGTCATCCCGTTCAAAGGTTGCGACGCGCCTGGATATCGACCTTTCCAAAGTTGAGCTGCAGTATGTGGTGACTGCTTTTCAGCGAGCCATGTTGACTTCGACTATATCGGACAAAGTTTTTCAGAGTTAATCATACATCTCAAAAGAAAACATTCATCACGAAAGACAGGTATCTCATTTTCCGAGAAATGGCTGAGAACTGAATTGAGGATAAGCCTCGATTAAATCAAACATGATAAGAAACAACTCACCTTCCATCATATTTTTTCACCAACGCTTGATGTAATTGGAAAGAAGGAAAAATGCTGCTACTTTTTTAGTTTTCACCAATCCGTCTTTCGGGATCTCTGCTGAGTTTGATTCACCCTTTTTTTGCGCCTTCTAATCCTGTCATCCTGTTCGATTTGTGGTTCCCAGTCACCAATAACCACAGCGATATTTTAATCCAGTGATGGTGAATTCAAGCAGTTCGGCGAGAGTGTCAAGAATCACAGCTTTCAATGAGAGAATATGAAGTATCGGGCAGACCCATCAGATGGGGTCAGGGCCGGATATTAGATCACTAATACCGATGATCGACGAGTAATTCAATTTCAAGTTGATGATCGAAATTTAGATTGCCAAAGTGAAGGTAATCAAACTCAAAGCTCAAAGAAAGAAAGAAAGAAACCAAACATGATGAATGAGTTCAACAAGAATTCAAAGAAGCTATTCGACACTACCATTCAGGATTACATTCAAGCTGATCATCATCATCACCAAGGAGACTCTCAACTTGAACTTCAATTCGAACTCGATCAAGAACTTTCATCAAATCAATCAATCGATGAAGACTATCAAATCAACCTGATCCAATCCAATCAGCACTTGTTATCTCAACTGAAACATCAAACATTCGATTCTGATTTGATATCACCCAATGAGTTTATGGATTGGTTAAAAATCACCATCTCACCATATCAATCTCAACAACAAGAACCTTTAAATCTCAATGAAATCATAAAGATCATTCAATCAGATCAATCTCAAGATTTGAAATCAAATCAATTATTAGATTTATTAGGATTTCATTATTTATCTCTCATCGAACCTATCATCTCAAATCAATCATTAATCAAAGAACAAGATTCATCATCTCATCGAATCAATCATCATCAAAACAACAATCAAAACAACCATTATCATAATCACAACCATAGAATCAAAACGAGCTGGAACAGAAGATACCTTTGATTTACGTCAATTGAATCGACTCAAAGCAAGAGCACTCCTTGAAGCTTCTAATCGTCCACTTTTCACTCATGAAGGGGTAAGCTTTCTTGAAGTTTTACACGCGAATTGACCTCACAACATACTGAACGCGTCTTTTTTGAAAAAATGTAACCCTTTTAGTTTGTACAAGAAGCGGAATTCAATCCGCATATCTTCTCTTCATCAGTTTCAACAAATCTCAATCCAACGACGCACAAATATGCTTTACCACTTGGTACGACTCGTATTTCAGAGAAGGTGAATTTACAACTTTTGGCTCTCAAACTAAGCTTCTTCAACATGATTTGATCTTTAATCAAGTTCTTTTATGTTTGTTTGTAGCTTTACGAGGAAATCTCAATTCCACCGGCTCAAAAAGTTCCAATGAGATCAGATGAGCAATTCATTGATATTTCCGAATTAGATCCGATTGCTCGAGCTTCTTTTCCTGTAAGCCGACTTTTAATTCAACTCTCATTTCAAGAAGTGTTGTTGAGGATTCTTATTGATTAATCCACTTGCCTTTTTCTCACGTACACAAATTTGAATCGAAACAGGGCTATAAATCTTTGAATAGATTACAGAGTGCCGTATTCCCAATTGCATATAAAACAAATGAGAATATGTTGGTTTGTGCTCCGACGGGTGCAGTTCAGTCTTTCTCCTTTAATGATCCTTTTCCTTGCCCTGCACGACTTTACGTATATCTGACCCTTAAACAACTTTACATATTCACAGGGTAAAACTGATGTTGCAATGTTGACGATCCTCAGAGCCATTTCTCAGTACAGTGGTCTTACTTTTACCAAGAAGCATAATTCAACTCAACCCATAGGTAAAATTCGTAATGATTTCAAAATTATTTACGTTGCTCCTATGAAAGCCTTAGCAGCTGAAATTGTGAGAAAGATGGGAAAGAGACTAAGTTGGTTAGGTTTGGTAGTCAAAGAGTTGACAGGTAAGTTCTTACCACTTGATGCGCTTGATAATAGCGATTTTAACTGAGCTCAAAGCCGGGGTTTGAAATCAAGGTGATATGCAACTCACCAAGGCTGAGATCAATGCTACACATTTAATTGTAACTACACCTGAGAAATGGGATGTAGTGACGAGGAAAGCATCTGGCGAAGATGATCTTGTGTCTGTTAGTATTTTCATATTTCTTGAATACTTCTTCTTTCATCATTCTCATTGTACCTCTTTTCCAAACCGATTTATCAGAAAGTTAGGGTATTAATCATTGATGAAGTCCATCTCTTGCATGAAGATCGAGGTGCAGTGATCGAGACTATCGTTGCACGGACGCTACGACAAGTAAGATCCGATTCTACTACTACCAACTTTGATCATCTCATCCCTTCTTCATCACTGATCTTCTTTTTTCCTCCATCACAGGTTGAATCATCACAATCTTTGATTCGAATAGTTGGCCTGTCAGCTACTTTACCAAATTATATCGATGTATCCGATTTTCTGAGAGTCAATCGAATGCAAGGTTTGTTTTATTTCGATTCAAGCTTTCGTCCTGTTCCATTAGAACAACATTTTATTGGAGTAAGAGGTAAACCGAACTCTAGTGTGTCTAGAACAAATTTGGATTTAGCTACGTTTGAAAAGGTTGTTCTCTTTCCTATCTCCATGACTTCTTCTTGTACTAATCAGGGCTCTCGTAGGTTTCGAATCTAGTTAAAGAAGGTCACCAAGTGATGGTCTTTGTACATGCACGTAAAGAAACTGTCAAAACCTCTCAAATGTTGAGAGACAAGTTTATGGAAGATAGTTTACTTGAATATTTGGATCCAAGTGAACATCCGAAATATGATGCTTTCAAACGTGACTTGAATGGTTCTAGGAATAAAGAAATGAAAGAACTTGTTAAGGATGGACTTGGGTGAGTATCAGGTTTGTTTTGTTCAATTAATCGTTTACGGTCACATTTCAGATCTGAACATTATCACACTTTGGTTGGCATTAGTATCCATCATGCTGGAATGTTACGGTCTGATCGTACTATCAGTGAACGTTTGTTCGAAAGTGGTGTCACCAAGGTATGTCTTTGTATTCTATTCGTCATAGATATAGTCCCATGCCAAGGTTTTTCTTCCACTCCTCCCTATACTGTAGGTGTTATGTTGTACCGCGACACTTGCATGGGGAGTCAACTTACCAGCCTACGCAGTAGTGATCAAAGGTACCCAGATATATGATGCTTCAAAAGGTTCATTTGTCGATCTTGGAATTCTAGATGTGCTTCAAATCTTTGGACGAGCTGGTAAGTCATTCCCTTAATCCCTTTTTCGGGGATTTTATCTGACGCTCTTTATGGTTCCAGGTCGACCACAGTATGAGGACCACGGAGTTGGTTACATCTGTACGACACATGACCGGCTTGATCATTATGTTGCTGCTATCACTCAACAACATCCAATCGAATCACAGTAAGTAACGCTTTTCCGAAGTCCTGACTTGATCAAAACTGAAAATGATACTCCATCCAGGTTTATTAGCGGGATTGTAGATTCTTTGAATGCAGAGATCGCTTTAGGAACAGTAACAACGATAGATGAAGGAGTTCAATGGATAGGATGGACTTATCTATTTGTAAGGATGCGAAAGAATCCCATGGTTTATGGTTTGACGATTGAAGATGTTCAAAACGATCCATTATTGGGTAGTAAACGACATTCATTGATTGTGAATGCAGCTAAAACACTTCGTACAATTGGTATGATTCGATTTGATGAAGATTTGGGTAAATTGATACCTAATCAATTAGGCATTATCGCTTCGAGATATTATATTAAGCATGCTAGTATTGAAATCTTTGTGAAGGCGTTTAGGGAAAAGATGACTGAAGCTGACGTGAGTGTTCTGAGCGGTTCAAAAAAAGCTCACGAAAACATTATACCAGAACGTTAATGAACATTTTTTATCTGGGGCGGGACTTGTAAACATCATAGGTTTTAGCCATGATAAGTGAAAGTGTAGAATTTGATCAAATCAAAGTAAGAGAATCAGAATCAGATGAATTAGATAGATTACAAAACGAAATCCCATGTCAAGTGAAAGGAGGACCGACAATCACATCAGGCAAAGTGAATATATTACTTCAAGCTCATGTGAGTAGATGTTATGTAGATGATTTTGCATTAGTTTCAGATATGGCTTACGTGGCACAAAACGCAGCAAGGATTTCAAGAGCTTTGGTGGAGATTGCGGTTTCGAAACGGTTTGCTGAGACGTCTAGAGTTTTGATTGAGATTGGAAAGTGTATTGATAGTTGAGTGCTATGAAGTATTAGTCTTGTTTTCATGAAAAACATGGTCACTGATGCTTGAATTTTGAACCTAAATTGTCGGTTTTTTTCTAGAAAGGATGTGGCCATTTGCTCATCCACTATTACAAGGAGGTCTATCAGACAAATTGATCTATGATCTAGATCAACGAGCTGGAGACGTAGAGATTGAAGATTTGGCACAGATGTCAGCAGTGGAAATTGGCAAGATGTGTCATCTGAATGAAAAGCTGGGTGGTGTGATACTCAAAGCAGCTCGACAGTTCCCCAGACTATCAATCGGATACTCACTACAACCTCTATCGAGTGGACTCTTAAGGATCAAAACCGATTTGAGTCACGAGTTTGATTGGTCAAATCAACTTCATGGTCAAGCTGAACCATTTTGGATTTGGATTGAAGATGATCAACAAAGAGAGATCTTAAGGATTCGACGTGTATACCTTCGACCGAACAAACCTGAATTTAGTCTCGAGATGGTGATCCCTATCAACCCTACCACCAAGATCTTACCTGATGCTTTAGCAATCCGAGTGATGTCAGATCGCTGGGTTGGATCAGACACTTCTGCTGAAGTGGATTTGAAGGGGATCATTTTACCTTCTGAACCACCGCCATTCACCACTCTCTTGGACTTACCGCTTTTGTCGACCAAATATCTAGAGCTAGCATATTGCTCCCGATTCTTACCTTCTCACTTGGACCCTGTTGAAACTCAATGCTTTCATGCGATAAATCACACACCAGCTGATTTATTGATATGTGCCTCTGACCTTGAAGTTGGTCGCCGGATGTCGATGGTTGCGACAGATCGAGCAATCAGATTGGCAATGACTCGAGATGGACATTATCAGATTTTGATCTTCTCACCTAATAGATCATTGGCTAGGCAACTGTTTCATTACTTTTCTAAAGCATTCGGATCACGCGACGTCAAAGTGGATTTGCTAGTGAATAACAACGATTTGAATTCAAGAAAAGTTTCACAACCCCAGAATCGATGTCAAGTGATGATTATGACTTCAGAGGTTGGTCAACATGTGATCAAATCACTTTCAACCGATCAAACGATTCTTTCAATCTTTCTGGGGCTTCATTTACTGGATGGTGTTTATGAAAGATTGATTTCCAAAGTGAAAGGTTTTAAATCAAGTCGATCGATTGGATTTTCAAGTCCATTATCAGATGTAAGATCTATTTCAGATTGGCTTGGGATTCCGATAGAAACACAAGTTTATAATTTTGGACCACATATACGAGTTCAACCTATGACGATTGAATTTGAACCGATTGAAAGTACTCATTCGATTAGTGAATTAAGATCATCAGTTAAATCTATCTCCAAATTAATCCGGAATTTAAATTCAAAATCATCTGTATTAATTTTTTTAGGAATTTCACCTGCTTGTAAGATGATTGGAAGATCATTGATTCAAAGTTTAATTACACAAAGTGATGGAAATGAAAGAAGTCGAAATGAAGGATTAAATGAAAAAGATGAAGGATTGATCAAAAGTGTATTTGGAGATCAAGAGATTATAGATTTAATGTTACATGGATTATTGATTTTGAATGAAGGAATGAAACGAAATGAAATAGAGATTGGAATTGAATTTTTTAGAAATAAGAAAATCAAATTAATGATTTTAGGTAGAGAGATGTGTTGGAGATTATCAAATGAGATGATTAAATCTAATTTAGTGATTGGATTAGGTACAGAATATATTGAGAAGAAAAAAGATCAATCTAAACTTATTCAACATGAGATTAGTTTAGGAGAAATCATTCAAATGAAAAGTTTTGTTGGTAGATATGAAATTAGCCATCGAAAAGGAAATGAAGAAGAAGATGAAGAAAAGTTTTTATTGGTTTGTGGAATTGAACAATTAGAAAGGTATCAAAACGCATTAGAACAGGGAATTTCGATCGAATCGGAATTAGAGATCCAAGAAACTTTAGAAGGATTAGATGAATTACTTTGTTGGTTAGTTAATAAAGATGATCATGAATTCTTAAAAGATTCTAAACCAAAACATAAAGGCATTCATCAAAGGAAAATACGTGATAAGAATGAAGTGATTCGATTTGTTTGTGAAATGTATATTGGAAATCGAGTGAAATTGAATCCATGGTATTATGGAATCAGAGTAGATCATCAAGAAGAAAATCAAGAAGGATTAAGAGTTTCTAGATTGATTGATGAATGGATTGAAGGATTAGTTAGAAGGAATTGTTTGAAAGGTTTAGGAGGACATGAGGATGGGAGAATTGAAATCACATTGATTGGAGAAGGATTGGTGCATGGAAATTGGTCGGTTGGGATGATTGATCGGTTGAAGGCATTAGAACCTAAGAAATTGATGAAGAAATTAAAAGAAGTGAAGATTAATGAAGTGAAAGACGTAAAAGAAGTGAAAGAAGTAATAGATCAAAGTGAAGTAAAAGATCCAAATGAAGTTGAAGATCAAAGTAAAGGTAAAAGTAAAGATTCTAAGATATCCGAATTAATGAAATATTATAATAGATTACCTAGATATGTAAAAGAATTAATAGAAAAAGAGATCGAAGAAGGAGAAAGACAAGAAGGAGAAGAATGGAAACGGAAGGTTTTAGTGATGGGTTTTGGAATTGGAAATCGAATTCCATTTCAAGATCTTGAATTAGAAAAAGATCAAGCTAAATTGATTTTGGAGATTTTGAAATCATTATAATGACTTCACACTTAACTAAATCATCAGTTTCTGGGGGGTGTTTTTTGTACTTTAATATAATTTGTGTAATGATATGATGATCATTGATATACCATTGAAATGAGTCTGTTTGTTTTAGATGAATAAGAGAATGTGAGAAGTAAGCTTGGCTTGAAGATTTGAGGATTTGGGACTAGGAAGAGGGTATAAAGTGTGGCATTTAAAAAGCCAAAATCTTAACACTACAATGGTAAAATGAATTCACCGCAGAAAGTTTTCTCGTCTACGTAGACAAGATATGGTGAACCGTTAGCCAAAGAAAAATAAATATTGATCTTGGAATTTTCTTTCTGGCTCAATTTTATTTGCAAGGTGGACACTGATGAATAATTATTCTTACAATGACTTGGATTCAGCTATATACTATTACGATACATTATCGGTATTATCATCAGGAGTGAGGGGGAAAAGCCAGTCGTAATCTTGCAATCTTTGGTTCATCAAAATATGCAAGACTCTGCATGGACGAGCAAATCTCATTCTCCCAAATATCCAACACGACCCGTATATAGTCTGTGTTGATTGGTATGAGTAAGTCTGATTAACTATTGTGCGAGGTTTATTGCAGTCTGCTTTCCACTCCCAAAGATTTCCCCACGTCCATCAGCCATCCTTTTGGTCAGATAGTCATGTGTTCTTGACCTGATCAACGAAACTAGGATAATAAAGTTTCAGGTGAGAATGTATTGGGCGCTTTGAAGAAACATGTGATGAGTAGAATATGATTGGATCTCGAATAAGAGCCGACTAACAATAAAAATCGTCATGCCCGTTGCCCTTGTTGACTGGGACTCCAACTTTCTTACTTTACATAGTTCAAGGGATCCTTCCCGAGCTCTCAACTAAAAGATGGCGAGGAAATTATTCAGGACAAAGTAGATAGAACTCGGTGCCTGCCGAAGAATTTGATGCCACACTCATCCATGCGTTCCTTTGCGTATGAAGTCAGAGAACCTCCTTAGCAAGATCTGGTGAGACGAAATTCGATATAAATACTCACCCTTTTGCTCACCACAAAACATATCTAATCATCATTCCATCGATATCATTTGATCCACTCTAGCATTCAAAAACACATCTACCACTACTATTCCTACTAGTTTTTTGAAGAACCATTCTTATCTTATCTTGACTACCTATTCGAAAGCCACACACTCTTATCTTGTTATCTTTACCCATTTCCTTCAACAATACTTCTCAATCATGAATTCTCAATCAAACCAGCCATGTCTTCGTGCACGATTTTTATCAGCATTAAAGTTATCGGACAAGCCCAACAAGGTTGTCGGTATCTCGTCTTCGAATTTCAAAGTGAGTTTCGCGTCTCTCTGTCAAAGGAATTGTGATCTTATTAACTTTATTTTCTTTTTGACTTTAGCGTGCCAAAGCCTATGAAATGGCTCATCCAAAACCGGTGGTGAAACCCACACTGGTAAGCGTTGATGTCGTTGGAATTTTCATTTACTGTTTCATTATTGATCGTTAGAGCTCATCTCGGTTCTTTCAATTTTGCCCATTTAACAGGACCTAAGCGATCCACTGCTGGTCGCTTTGGCTCGAGCTGCAAACACTTCGACTTCCAACCGATACGCTGGTCAAAGATCCGTAAGTGATTTTCTCACTAACCTTTTGATCCTTTATTCTCATCTGATCTGATATGTATACTGCCTTCCCATAGACAAAGGTTCCTGTCCGAGTTCCAGCTGGGTTCCCAGTCAACCAGAACTTTAGTCAACGGGTACATTGCACCTTCGATGATCTAAAGGACGAGACGGAAGAAGTTGGTGCGGATGAAGATGAAGATTTGGTTTGTTTATGTTCCACTTGATTGATTCTATGTGGACATCGTTACATTTTCATTTTGGGTTTCATTATTGCTCATTGAAGCTCATCCCTGTTTTTTATTTTGTCAATTTAACAGGACCAATCCGATCCACTTTTGGCAGCTTTGGCTAGATCGGCGAACAACGCAACATCCCGCCGATATGCCAGCCAACGATCGGTTAGTGATTTTCTCACTAACCTTTTGGCATCCTATATTCCACTCTATTCTGACACACATATTTCCTTCACATAGACCAAAGTTCCTATCCGCGTTCCTGCTGGCTTCCCTGTGAATCAGAACTTCAGCCAAAACGTGATTCACACCTTCGATGATGTAAAGACCAAGGTGAAAGTTGAGGGACCCAATGCGGATGAGGATGTTATTTCGGTACGTCGTGTTCGACTTGACTGATTTCTCCATTTCCGCGTACAACGTATTTTCTTGACAATGTTATACAATACTGATACTTCTATGTGATTTCTCTTCAGTCGTCAAAACACGGAAAGTCAAGGGGCATTGAATTTCCAAGATTAGACATGCCCGTGTCTCAAAATGATTCCAACTTGGTGGACTGGTCAACTTCTACGCCAGTCCGAGTTGCAAGAACAAACAGACACACACTGCCTAGCAGAGGGTCTTCAACCTTCTTCACACCTGGGCTCACCGTCTCCTCTTCTTCGGCCACATCAAGTGTGGTATCACCCATTGGCTCTGCTTCCAAGACGCCAACTTCCATTTCATCGGCAAGAAGAGTTGTATCCTCAACTGGACCAAGTTTGGCCACTCCAAGGTGGTTGAGTAGGAAACAAACTACTCCAACCCCTAAGGATAGGCTCTATACAATCCATGAGGCTTTACTTTCCCCTTTTGGGTTACCTTCTTCGGCTCCTGAGGCGATTCACGAAGGTAAATCACACGCTGAAGTTTTGGCTAGTTTAGGGTTTTTGAATAAGTTCTATAGTGAAATGTGAATGATGTTTGTTCTTCACCTCTTGTTTACATCGTTGTGTTCAATTTGTTTTCTCGAGTGTTTTTCTTATTTTTTCATCTACATTGTTTTTATCATCTTGCAATAATTTTCTATCAATTTAATCCTCCTTTTTTCATCTAATCAATTTCCCTTTATCTTTAGTAAAGCAAAAAAGAACTTCAAGTCATTCCTTGTTTTTTGAAATTCCCAATATCCTCAGTTTAGTAGGATTTATTTGGATTAGTGTTAACAAGCATGAAGATTTGAATAAGGAAACTTTATGAAGTTCTGCAAGATATCAAAAAAAGACATGGATTCTTCAGTTGGTTTATCTATTCAATGACTTGTAATATAGGTTCAAGCTTCTTTGAGAGGTGTGATTTTCCTTGGGCAACCCTTCCTTCTGTCCGCGCATTTGATCTGATTCAATTTCACTCTGGTCACCCTGTAATTTATGTTGATGTGTTATGAGCTATGGTATATCAACTCATTCCTTTGAGTATCTTTTGAATCTATGAGTTTGGATATTTCTAGTATACATAATCCTTTACCAAATATATAATTCAGATACTTTGATCTCAAACTTTGGATCGGTGACAAGAAAGGGCTGCCTGCTCCCTTGAGAGAAATTCAAGGCTCTGGATGATTGAAGGTGTCTGTACTGAACCCCTGATTGGAAAATGCCTAGTCAAGCCTTCAATTCTTGGAATCCAATGAATGAATGTGTACTTGACTGCATCGTTCTCGTCTGTGACTTATGGTGAAGTAAAATGCGTTGAAGGTTGTGTAGGGAGGCATTCATATACCAAGATGGTTTACCACGTCTATTCAACTTGAAACTGTGGACTTGGCAAGTGACTCTGCAGGCTATGGGGATTGGAAAAACCCATGCCAAGCTGCATCTTTCGGTCTCTGAAAGTGGTAACATGATCGTGTTGGAGCTCTGGATAAGAAGGAGAGCAGAGAAGCTTGAGGAAGTCAGAGAATGGGACTTGTTTACAGGGAGAAAGAGAAGCTCAGATTGGAAAAGGACACTGGTCAGCTTAGGTCATCAAGCCACTGAGCAGACCTAAGCTTAAATAATGAGAGGCTTGTTAAGCTTAGAGCACCCACTATGGTGGGAGTGTTTTATCGTAAAGTTTGCGTTCCTGAGCGCGAAGTTTGATCATGCGTGTTTTACCAAAGTTGGTAACCGCGTGAAATCCACTATGGGATGATTTATCGTCTGCTTTCCCTAGTTCCTACGATAAATCAAGTCGTAGGCTTGCGTAAATCTGAGCACACAAAGTGCAAGACTTGACGCAGCCGTACGGACCGCAGGTCTAAAACAGGTCCATAGTGGACCTGTTGGTATTTTAGCGTTAGGGTAACGCTAAATCACCGAGTTAACGCAACCATAGTGGGTGCTCTTAGAGCAGACCCCAGCCAAGCCTTTCCTTTTTGATTTGTTCAACTGAGATTACATGACTCCTCCGCCGACAAGACTACAAAGTGAAGACTTTGATGGATCAATCCTTGGGTATGCTGCAAGCAGGCGACTTTCACCGCATCATCAATCCGTTTCAACATAAGACATTGACAGTCGGATTCAACTTCATGCCGATTCTTCCAGAGGCCAACCAAGATCGCTTTGGAGCAATTCACCATATGTTGCACATATCTCACTTTCTGGCCAAAGGCTTTATGTCTCACACTAGCAGATACACAATGCGCTTACGTGCCAATTATTACGACTCACGACCCTGCTCGTCTACAGATAACAAATTCATCAAATGTTTCTACCAATCTAGATGTCCATTCGACTCAATGATTGAAGACAAACCTGTGGAGCCACAGATGTCGCAATACCACTCGTTTTTGCATGCCTTGCTTCCTTGAAGATATCTCAAACACCAGGGCCTAAACTTTAGCGACCAAGCGGACTGGACCCATCTAAACAATTTATCATAAAGTAGTTCTACATAAATACAAATAGAGCTATTGCCTCAAGAGCATCATGAACAGTCATCTTCATTAGTCAAATCTAGTGGACTAGAACCATCTAAACAAAATTAACTCATTGCAATAGTTGGTGAACCAGGTATGTCCTCAAATGTCCCCAGATTCATTTGCCCATTGACATCCAAGAGTGTGTAAGTCTTCTTCTTACAAAAAGCATCTTTCTCTTTCATTTTAAAATGATTAATGTCCAAGTTATGATTTGAGCAGTTCCAAGACTGGATTTGAGGATGGTGAACACCCTTCCAATTGGGTTCCAAGATTGTAACATAATTCTTGAACCCGCCATCTAAGATGTAAACTTTGGTATACAGGGAAGGGTGATTGATTTCCCAATCTTTCTCTTGAAGATATATAGCCCTGTTTCAAACACATCCAAGTATAAGTTTGAAATATAACTGGGGTCAGTATTTGTAACATAAACTAAAGAGAAAGAAGAATCACTGAGAAAGAGGGATTTTCATAATTTGACTTACATTTCAGGACCTCAGATAGACAAAAATTTGCAAGGGAAAACCAATACAAGTTTCTTTGATGCTGATTTTCCTTGTCCTTTATCAAGACAACCAGAGATGGGAACCCCAATTCAGCAAAAAAAAAAGGATTGATCTCCTCCTTGGTCTCCACACTGATTCCCGCCTTGATATGGCTGCCCAAGAATTCATACTCTGATCAACAGTCAATAATTATGGTTTCTACAACTTCTTCATCAAATTCACCTCTTGTGAGACCATCTAATGTTTCACTGCTGATCTTTTTCATTGTGTTGTACAGAAGTCTTGAGCTAGGAAGGATATTGTCAAAAGGATTCTCTTGGAGATGACCTTGGGATTTGGTCTTGGGATTCTTGAGGGCTTTTGAAGATCCCATGATCATCTGGGTAGGTGGCAATGCAGTATGGTAAACGGTCTTGAGGAATTTGATTCAAGTGATTTTATTTTATGTTTCTTTCTTTTGTTGATATGAGTAGATGCTGAGAAAGGATCATTGCTTTCATCATCTTCATGTCTTGTTCTTGGTAATCTATTTGATTGTTGCCTAGCATAATATTTGGTCTTGAGGTTTGGAGTCTTTGGAGTGGGACCTGCAAGATGACTTTTAATCAAGGTGACTGACTTTGAAAATGTCTTGCTTGGAACAATGCTAAAGCTACTATGTGATTTTTCGATTTTCTGTTTGATCACAATTTGCATCTTTGACTTCTTTGAATTATCTGCATGCTCTTCAAACTCCCCATTATTGATAGGCTTACTCAAGGGCAGAGACTTTGAAAGTGGCGGTGGTGTAATGGGCAAAACTTGGAAGAGCATGAACAACCAAGGATTTATAAGATGACATACCTTATCACCCATGGCAAGAGATGCCAAAGCTTGTTGAAAGCTACTCTTAGTGACCGGCTTAAAATTTTTGAGGGGACAAAAGCTAGATTTGCTACTTGAATTGCTGGATCTTTTCTTTGTGTGATTGAGGCAAGGAAATGATGGTTGAACTTGTTTAGGAGAAATAGTGAATGATTGAGATGATAAATTCTTGGTGGACTTGGGTTGGCTAGCAATCTTGTAGAGATTTGGGGTCTGGCCTGGTGTTGAGGCCAGTCTCCTGCCTTGATGAATGGCATTTTATTTTTTTTCATGCTTAGACATCTTATCAACTGTGATGAAATTGATGATAGAAAGACAGATTCAAGAATGGGTGAGGTATAGGAAGTGTTGTTGATGTTGTGATAAGATATGGCAGGACTAAGTGAATGGTGGTGTTATGAGTTGAACAACAAAATAAACTTGGATAGATGTGAACAACTAGACAAAGGAATCCACTGAGGATATGAGTGTATAGTATTCGTAAATGTGTTTGTAAATGACAAAGAGGATTACTGAACATTTTCTTCATTTGTTCTAACAATGGGTCACATTTTGAATAATTTCAATCAGCTCTGGCTTAATGATTAGCAGCACCAATAAGTAACAATCATAGTCTAATGCTTTTGAAAGCTTCCCGCTCATATCACCTCAAGTACATGAGATGACCAGCACATGGTGGGAAGCTACAAAGATGGCAGAGAAGTTATTTCAACTGAAATCTCTTTGTCACTTGAGACAAATTGTGGGTTTGCTCATGAATTTGGTTTTCTTGAAGTGGCTTGTACATTTGCTGTGTGTACACAATGACTGTATCATGATACTGGTACTATGAAAGCTGACCCATGAGGTCTTCTTGGACTAGAATTTTGTTATACCCAGGCTCATCACCCCTCATATCCATAAAAGTCACATGGACTTAAAGAATAGATAGGATCACAAAAAGACTGACAAGATGTGTGGCTAGCCCAACTTACCACAGCCAATCACACTTTTAAACAGTGGCTAACTTAACAAATTGCTTGGACAATCACAAAAGCAAAGTCGTCAGATGCCGCGGCTAAGTTTTGGCACCTTGATACCAATTTGTGTATTTCCTGACTTTCATTTACAATTCTTATGTTGAAATGTCAAAATGACCAGAACATAAACAGTCAGCACTAGAGCAGCTGGATTTTGTTTCAAAACAAATTGGGTACACTATTGAATATGTGAATATAGAGGCCAAATGGAACTCTCCTTTTCTCTTGATGCAATCAAGTTTTGGTTGTCTCTTTCTCAAAAACACTGGTGTTTGATGTCAATTGAGCATGAAGTAGGACTTGATGATGAATTGAAGCCCTTGACCTGCAGGCTGAGGTGATCACAGCAAGACTCAAGGTTTCTGACCTTTTTATCTGCCTGGACCTCCGGAGAAAGACAGGTATATACAGAACAGAAGCACAGATACTTGAAGCAGGTTGGGCAGTTGTTTCAATCCGCAATCACTGGACTATTGGATGCAGTGAATTTCCTTCTTCCACTCATTACTCATGTTATCTTATTGAGGGGAAGGAACAAGGATACTTGTTTCTTTTTGTTTCTCTTATTATCATTACACATTCATTCTTAACTAATGTTGTAGCAGAATACATTCCGTGTGTTTTCTCCTGGGCAAACCTATAGAATATGTATTTGACAACACTGTAGGTTTCTTGGGGGGGGCTCTGCCCCAGCAGGGGGGCAAGGGAGGTAGGACCACCTGAAAAGTAGATGGGATAGTGCTGAACGGCTGGGCCTGGCAACTCTCACACCTACAGTATTCTGAGCTACATTAGAAAACCACATTACATAAACTTACTGTCCAAGGGGTGGAACCTCTTTAATTTGTGTACATTGCCGTAAGCATCAAGTTTCAATACACTAAACACATTCCTTTTTCTGGGTGGAGGGTGGGAGCAAAAAGAGTCCAATCTCAAGAGATGAGATTGTGATCTCAAGAGATGAGTGAGGGATGTGAGAATCCAGATCCGGGCGCGGGATAATCTAAGCATGAGTTTAACACAGATGGAGGGGGAGGAAAATGTTGCAAAAAAAAATTCTGCAATATTTTTCATGTGTGTGTTGAGAGAAACGTGACCCGGCCCCGGGTAACTTTCTTGATCACCCATTACCCGACATCTACCTGTATCGTGTAAAATACCGCCGTACCTTTATGTATGTACGATCAAACATTTTTTTTGAAAGCTCTTCAGCTTTAAGTCTCCCAAAGATCTTGCTGAAGAAACAATAATCACCATTCTTCCATTTTAAGTTTGCACGAAGTATTTGCTAATTGTATGCTTGATAGGCACTTTTCCAAAATGTAGTGTATCACGTCACAAACCATCATACAACCAAGAAAATTGTGTAGTAGGTTAGCTGACTACCTCTCACATAGACTCAGGTTTTGAAAGGGATAAAATGACGTGGTTTTCAAGACATCAGATCCTATCAAATTCGATGTGACAGGCCGTTCAAGCCGGAGAGCAACGCAGCCACAGATACCACACTTGTACCGGTATTGTACCATACCGTATCTGGTAAGTGTGGTACCGTACTGGCCGTACCGTAACTACGTGATGACTACGGTACTGGAGGGGCCAGAATCCATTTTTTTGATTTAGGTACGGTACTAGGTATGGTACCGGCAGGGCGGGTGCGGTACTAGGTACTGAGCTGGGACAGTACCCGGAATTTCAGCTACGGTACCGTACCGTACTTGATTTTGTACAGTCCAGGGGATCCAGGGGACTACCCTTGACCCTCGGTAACCCTTGACCCCCATCCGATCATATTCCAACACCAATGCCATCGAACTAGCAATGGTACACTCCCAATCTAGTCATAATAGTAAGTTTTCATGTCTCTTTCATCCTCTTTGGGTCAATATTCGCACTGATTCATGGGATATTGTGATATAGATCAGACAACCTCCACCATGGCCCCTCGTTGCACGGCTGAGTGGGTGGAAAAGCTTTCGAAGCCGTACGTCGTTTAACTCATTCCCTTGCTTTTGATTTAAAGAATAATAATTCATCTTTTTTTCACTATCCGTCATTTCGAAACCAAATCCTATCCCTCCCATTACAGATTCCTACTTTTATTTCTCTACCAATTTTCACTTCTCTTCCAAATCATTTCCTCCAAATCCTCAAAGATGTCTTCGTCATCTGTCGTCCACACCAATCGACGCAGCAGTCGTCCTTCACCTGCCCGAAAACCACATTCGATGATCCCCACCCCTGCTGACTCTCGCCGATCAGTCAAACGCCGTGATCGTGATGAAGATGATGCGTCTGATTCAGTTGCCTCAGTCGCCTCATTTCAACCTCATCCTACCAAACGCAGACACCGCTCGCCAACCGAAGATGAAGAAAGTTCTGAAGACAATCAATCGGTCACCACACGTAAGAAAAAGAAACCGCCTAAGAAGAAACGCTCCAAAGTGTCAAAAAAAAAACCAGACCACATCGAATCATCAACCAGTCAATCAACTACACAAGTTAAACTACAAATTAATCTCACACAAGATTCGGATGACGAGAACAGTAAGGTTTCCGGTAAACAAGACGAAGACGACGCTGAGGATGATCGATACGACCCTGTGAAGGATTATTTCAAAGATCCATTTGAGGGTCCCAAAGACGTAAGAGTTTTTACTTATCCATTCATTCTTTCACTCTATTGTTTCACTTCTTCCATCTTTTTCTCAATCTTATTAATGTCAATTTCTCTATGCTCTTAGAAACCTGGCGTGCGCGGTACTTTTCCTTGCAAGTATTGCGGGAAAGATGTCCGTAGTGTAGGTGGGACGTCAAGTCTCTGGGCGCATCGCGACGGTTCGAAGCAGCCCACCAAAACTGGACGACCCGGTTGCGACAAGCGAGATGCTGCCATTGAGGCAGGATGCATCCTTCCTCTGACCACCTTTGAAAAGCGAACCAGGGATGCTAAGCCCCCAGCCGGACAATCAGCAATCACTGCTTACGCTCACTCAATTCCCAAGTTCGACAACAAAACACTCAACCAGATGTTGGGTATGTGGGTAATTAGGACTGCGCAACCATGGCGACGAATTGAAGATGCATATTTACGGGCTGCTTTCCGGTATGCCAACCCCAACGCTCACTTATTTGGTCGAACGTGGGTTGCGAAGTTTGCTCACCAGGCATATATGGAGATGCGTGCATCAGTTTTTGACGAACTCAGAGTAAGTGTTCAATTACATCCTTTTATTTGATTATATATGCTGATCATCACTTATTCATTATATGTTACCTTAGTCCCTCACCAGCAAATTTGGATTGATCCACGACGCCTGGACCACGAAAGGGAATCGCTATGGTTTTATCGGTGCAACAGTGACTTGTATTACAGAGGACTGGAAGTATGTAACACGGCATCTATGCCTCAAGCTTATCGCATGGCATCACAAGGGTGATTGGCTTGCGGAACCCCTGATCAACATCCTCACAAAACATGGAATCCATCAAAAGA